CATAAGTCGCGACAAAATGACATAAACTAGCTTAGATGATTAAAGCAGTGGCAGAAGAAGGAGCTTGAGTTGGGGTTTTGGGTGCTGGGAAATACCCTTGAGATTTGGGGTGTGTTTTTCTAGAGAATCCCAATCCCTAATTAATAAGTATCAAAAAGAAAGGGGTCCATGAACTTACACAGAAAAAAATTGACATAAGATAAGATTGATATGTTCTGGTCAATTTTATATTTTTTTAAAGATCATTTTACATTATTTGTTAAAAAAATAATAAATTTGGTATTTATATGATATGATAAAATATCAAATCGATATGTTTGAATCATAAATTTGATATGAAATAAGGTAGAATTGACCCTATTTCATATCGAATTTTATTTCTGTTTAGTTAGATATTAGATTATTTTTCTGGCTTTGTTCTTTCTTCGTAGAAAGTATGATGAAATTTCCTCTACCTTCGCAATAATTTGTATTACTCATACGCACCGTTGGACTCATTTGCTATCACTCATTCGTTATAACTCATTCGACCCGTGGCCCCCGTACAGGTTTACCCACTTGTGGTTATAATCGTGTGGCAGCGATTTGCTGATTTGTCGAGCTCTTTTCGCAGCTTGACATCTCGACGGCGCTGTCCTTGGGACAGGTCTCTTTGTCGACGGACCGAACCGGGAATGTGGTCAAGTCTTTGTTGTCTACGAACGACAGGCACTTGTCGTCGCTGCAGGAAATGCAAAGTGCAATTTGCATACGGCTCACTGGAGGCAGTTAAGTCGCCCCCGCCGAGTGAATATCATTGTGAATCATCCCGTCATCCCAGAGCCCATAGCCCATTCACACACACATTGTACTTAAGGGGCTCACGCGAATCTACGGAAAACTTAACAGCGGAAACAAAACTGCAAATTAACATGTTAACAAAATAGCCAGTTACAGCCGGTCTTTTTGTTTGTCTGTCTGTCTGACTGTCCATTTATCTGGGGTGTTAACAGCCGCCCCACGGCAAACTCACAACTCGCAAACAGCTAATCAACGAGAAAGCAAAAATGAAAATGGAAATGGAAAAAAGCTCACCGCATCAGCAAAACGGAGGATGAGCGAGGGTGATGAACGCGATCACGCAACCTGGGGCAACGTTTTTGCGCCCAGTGTCGTTTTATTGCCGGAATTGATGTCAAAGGTGCTACTTGCTGATCACATCGCAGGGAATTGAGGCGGCACATTCCCACATAACCTGCGATGACCGCACGGAATTCTGAATTACTTGCAATGGTTTATGATACTTGTTATACAAAATATTTAGCTTTTATAATTAATCTCTTAAAGGGCGTTAACTCCATTCTATGGGATGAGCTCTGCCGCCTCACGCACAGTATACACATTGCGTAATGGTTTCTGTAATAATTTTCTGCCTAAGTGATCCATAGTGACAGTATGGATGATTTTGCTAAATTGATTTTTTAATTTACTGGCTTATTTTTTGTTAAATTAGGGACACAATAAATGGTTTGTCATTCATCAACATAAATTTAAATTTCTGCAGCCAAACTCGAAAATGTCAAGCAAAATATTTAGCCTTTATTGAGAGACTCTAAACCGTCGGAGATCAGCGGGATGTGATGTGCCCTCTCTTTCTTCATCCGGAATCTTGCGCCAGTGACACAGTTTCCCTCTCTTTCTGCTGCTGTCTTGCTCTCTCACTCTTCATTTTGATTGAGGCGATTTGCGAACTCAATTTGTTTTTATGTAGCATTTCCATTTCGCTCATTTTGCCTCCTCTTTTTTTCTTAGCACTAATCAGTTTCAATTTCCATTCTTTTTTTTTGTGCCATAAAATGTGGGTGCATGGGGCGTTAGTACTTATCAAGTACACGACCGCTATCGCGTACTATTTATAAGCATAGTTGACGATTAAGTAATTAATAGCAGGCCGCTTGTAGAGTGCTTAACGGGGTAATTGGTCTGATTTCCAATTAAGTCAGCCTATTAAGATGCTTTTTGTGTGGGTCTCAAAGGGAAATCAGATTGTGTTTGGCTCTATAGAAGATTTGCCCTATCCCCTAGGCCATAATTCATATTCATGTCCGTTGTCCGTTTGTCCGTTGTCCGCCACCTCAATTGGTCATTTATCAAAGCTCCTTCGCAACAAAGAAAACATTGTTCGCGACTTTGGGTACGATGAACTGGAAAGAAAAGATTGGATAGTCGGGAATGACGGTACGGTACGGGCGGGCACTCAGGGAGATAAAGACGCGAATAAAAGCTGCAAAAAATAAGAAAATGGCAGCATTCGACGTGTGTCATTCATGAGCACAGTACACAAAAAAAAGGTTCAAGAAAAAAAGAAAAAACCATGACAATCAAAACGCTAAGAAAATAATGCTTGAAAACGTAATGCCAAAATTGTAAGCGGGCAAAGAGAACCCACAAGTTTAAACCTGAAATCGTAGCTTTGTTTGCTTTCAAATCTCGACCAGTCAATGACATTGCCCAGACGAAAACAAATATCAAATGCAATAAAACCAAATAAACCGTCGGGCAAAGGCAAAAATCGAATAATGTAAAGACATCCGAGGGAACAAGCGAAACGCGCCCCTTTGATTTTTCTTATAAACATTTAAAAATACACCCCAAGTCGAGGAGGGAACAACAATAAAATGTCAACTTATTTTTAACAAACAATGCGAACAACATGCCGTGCAAGATGTCAAGTGCATGCAAATCGAATTGAAAGGAAGGTGCTGGTTTTTAGGGGTAATGTGGGGGTGTTACGATACGATCGATCGGTGACTGGGGAATCGACAGTCATGACATCGTTAGTCACTCGAAGAACCACTCGTAATGCCGATCACATTGGGGTGATTAGAATTGATATTTCGAGTGATCTACGTGATGAGCTTGGTGATTTATTTATGACACTTGGGAAGCACTGTCCAAATACGGAAATATATTCAGAAATGTTACTAGAACTTATGTACCTAGTATTAATGGGATTTTTATGGGTTATTGTATTATTGTTATTACTAAAAGATTAATAGCCTTTTATAAGGTTTCTAAAATTACCACTCCACTGAAAGCTTTTAATTTTTGGCATGTATATACGATGTTTTATGACTTATATTATTGTAATGATGTATTTTGCAATTTATCGAAGTATTATCCATATTTTCTTTGTTGAAAATGGTTGTATTATAATTTTGTAAAACCTTCTTAACTTTGTTCATGTAATGACGATATTTTGTAACGATGCATTTGACAATTTATCGAAGTATTATCAATATTTTCTTTTTCTCCTTCATTCAATTGATAAATTTGTGGATTCTTTGTAAATCATTTGCGTTTTATTTTTGTAAACATAAACAAGTCATTGAAAGTCTTTGAGTTGCGTGCACTGTCTGTTCGACATGCCTTATAAAAGCTGTCCTCGTCTTGTCACCCAGTAAAAACCAACTTCTTCCCTCAATTCCCCCTTTGATGAAATTTGCATGAGGCAACAAAACGAATGTTTTGAATTATTAATTAAGAAATTAATTGCGCGTTGCCAACGGACGACTACGCATCCGAACTTGGCCTGGAATGTATGAAGGCGCTTTCATTTTGCAGTTACACAGCCCGAAAATTTATTATATTTTAATCAAGTATCAAAAACAATTATTCAGATTTAATTTAAAGCTCTGAGATGATGTTTTGTGTTGAATTGAAAAAAATACAATACATAAAATCATTTTAAATCCCTTTCAAAGACTATTCAATATTATTTACTGTGTTTCGTTGATGGTTGGTCAAGGGAATTCAATAAGCGGGTGCCATTGTCTGGCAATCAATGGCTGGTCATAGTTTCGACCCTCCATCTGCAGCTCCATTGTCCAAAGTCGAGTCATCCGGCTGTCTGCTTAGTCAGCTCCATTTGCATATCTTTCACACCCCACCAAGCCGGATATCTTATACCCTGTATATCTTGTTGATGATGCACCCAAGATCACCCAACTCCCAGCCTCCCAACCTCCCAACCCAACCCATCCCACCGCTGATTTCAGCAGATGATGAGTGAGCAGTTCCAACAAAAGATGTGCGTAATCTCTTTCACTGCACGGGGCGCATTACCAGGCAGAAATTAATCAGGAAATAAATTATTTATACTCATAAACTGGCAAATAAAGTCTGGACTTTGTCTTGTGCTGCCAAAAACGTTAAAAAAAAATTATATCTGTGACAGTGCAAAAAGAAAAGGAGAAACGAAAACTGAAATCCAATTTCCTTTATGGCTTAGTTATAAGCGATTATAATGGTCATTACATCTGACTTTGCGCAAAATGTACGGATAACGAGAGAATTTCCTTTTCAAAATCGAATCGCACAAGAGAAAACTTTAATTTTAATGTCTTTCCTCCACCACTTTTCATCGGACATATTCGGCTGGCTCACTCATGTGTTTTCCTTTCCTCCATTTTCATTTGCTTTTATTCCATTTGCCATTATACAACTTTTGTTTTCTACTTGATTGCATTTTACTTTTGATTTTTCTGCTTCGCTTTCCAGGCCTTGCAACGAAAAATCTCTTGGCGTGAAATTGTTTTTCTTTTCGTTTTTATTTTTTGCCTAGATTTCTATGATCGATTGTTCAGTGCATTGGAAATGCATTTAACGAGGTTTTCATTTTATTTCTTTTGGTTTTTGGACGCCTAAGCTTACATTTAGTTATTACTCTTCGATATAAGATAAGTTATCTAACCAGAGCTTGAAAAAAATCGACACTTTGCTGTTTCTCGATATTTATTTTATGTTTTCCCTAAGAAATCGATATTATCGAATCAAATTTGTCAAAATATCGAAAATATCGAATCAATATTGTCAAAATATCGAAAATATCGATAACTTTAAAGCTCTATATCTATCCCCTTTAGTAGTATCACGCTGAAAATTCAATAAGATTATGCTTCCTTTTTATATCCTATTCACTTTGTACTAATCCCGGATGTTTTCATCTCCATTTTTTGCAGACTCTGTTCGCTGACAATAACACGTCTCTCCATTTTGACCCCGCTTCCTGGCGACACCACCTCGCTGTCGCTGGCCGTGAAGATGCAGAGCTCCAAGAGGACACTGCGCAGCCACGAGATACCCATCAACGGCTCCGCCCTGACCTCCTCCGCCTCGCTGCAGGGCAACTCCCCGATGTCGTCGGTGGGAGGAGGAGGAGCAGGTGGCACTCCGGGTCTGGCAGGCACCGGGGGATTGACAGTGCCCCTGACGGAAACCGAGCTGGACTTGCACTTTAGTCTGCAGTATCCGCACTTTATCAAGAGAGATGGCAATAGGTTGGTGCATCAAATTAAATTAAATATCCTCTTCATATTAACTAAAGTGTTCTTTTATCCTTTGGCAGACTGGTTATTTTACTGCAACGCCGCAAGAAATACAAATCACGCACCATTCTGGGCTATAAAACGCTGGCCGAGGGCATCATCCGGATGGACGCGGTGCTCCAAAAGTCGATGGACATGATCATCGAGCTTACGGCTTCCGGAAAGAATGGCCGACCGGGCACAGTGGTGGCCTGTCTGCGAGCAGAACGCGTCTCTTCCATTCCAGTTGACCATGACAATAAGAACAACAACAGCGTCCTGCTGGCAGGTGAGTTTTAGAATATTCTGGGGATTATATCCATCAGGAGAAAATGCTGATTTAAAATGAGGGGAAAAGCAGACAAAATGTAGAAGACATTTTTGAAACCGGACCATTCATTAAAAAGTAATGAGCAAAGCAAATAATGGAATTCAAGCAGTGCAAGCAGTTGTATGCTGCATGCATATCTTCATCTCCCTCGCACTTCCTTTAGCTGAGTAACAGATATCTGATAGTTTCGGTTATCTAAACCGCATTCATAGTTTCGGTTTTACTGTCCCATGTCGCCTGTCCCTTGAATATCCACTTCGATGAGCAAGGCATTTTCTTAACTTCACCGTGCTAAAGAATTTATGGCCAAATCCATAAAACACTAATAAATGGACCCACGAGTCCCAGGCCCAGTCCAGATTAGAGAAGTGCTAATGACGCAAACTGGGCAATTAATGAGCCAAGTGGGGAAAGGGGATGTGGAGGAGACTGGAGGAGACCACTCCATGACGGATGAGTGGCTGTCCCGAGATCAGATGATGCTCCCAATTTGAGCTGATGTTTATGGTAATTGCTTGTGAAACAATCCAAAGGGGAAGGGGGAGCACCTACCAGTGACGTCAGCGCACGCATTTCAGCAATTCAGCTGAGAATTGAGAATTTCTGTGCCATGAATTCCCCCACGGCTACTGAAAGGCGGCGGCAAGGCCCCCACATGGCAACAGAAGCCCCATCTCATCCATGGCAATCTAATTGAAATTATTTTTCAGCTATTTCTGTTTGACAAGAGAATGGCGTGCGAACCGAAAGGAAAAGAGCGAGCCTCCAACCGCCGCCGCCTAGAGAGGAAATTCAATTATGAAAATAGCGTTGAGCGAATGGAAAACTCATTTACCATGCGGTTTCCCATCGGCAACATCTGGTGGTTCTGCGAGGAGCAGAAGAAATTAGGGGAAGTTGCGGGGCCAAAGGAGTGGCCATTTAAGATGAGTTCCAAAAGGGCACCGAGTCCTAGTTAAGCTGTTGAGCCCTGTTCTTCGGGGGGTTGGTATATGTGTGCTCTATAGAGAGATTTTAGCAGTGTTCTCACGTCACTCGGCCAGGGCCAAGGTAAAGGTCAGCCCCGAGCTCACCTCTAACCCCATGGCTTCTCCTGGCTGATGAAATATGTATGACATGCAAAATGTAATCTTTGCAACGTGATTTTTGTTTTGCAGTTCAAAGTTTTACGCTTTCTAATGGAAAACTGATCGGCAATCTAGTAGTTTGCTAGTAGTTTTTTAAATTTAACTACCCTTGCCATTGGTTGTATTGTTTTGATGGGAATTATTCAATTGATAAATTCTAAGCCCTAAAAATACAATAATTTTAAAATTCGAATGAAAGTTTTTATCTTAATTACTTACATTTTAAAGACCGTTCTTTCGTCCGTATGGTAAATTTAAAGTAGGGTCTAATCTTAATAAATTTATATGAATTCAGACTTTAACTCTTCTACGTTAAGGCCAATTTTCTTATCCGCATGTTAAATTTAAAGTAGGGTTCAAACCTAGAAAATGTATGAGAATTCAGTGTTTAAGGACTACTTTCAACTTTAAATGCAGGCGATAAAACGGCACTAAATGTAACATGCATTCTAGAAAACAACTTTTAAACCAATAAATTATAATATTAAATTGTAATTAGAGCAGTGAGCACCCTTTTTATTCGTTTCACAACGCCTAACTTACTTTCCCTTCTAAAACAACGATTGTAAATCAACTGCACTCGCCATAAATCATGTCGTTGTCACTACTCGTTTCGGACACTTTTGGCGCACCCCAGGATTGGCCTGGGATATCCCTACTCGTGGACTGGGTACATTAAACTAGTGGCCATCAGAAGTTCGCCTAACCACTTGGCAAAGGGCCAAGGCACGAGAATTTGGCTCCCGTGTTCAATCCATTCCGTTGGCAGTGACAGTCGGCCCCATATATTGAGGGTCAGTACTTGAACCCGAGCTAAATGAACTTGGTTGTGGAAAAAGGGAGAAGAAGGGTAAGAGGGCTAAGAACATATAGACACAGACAGCTCTGTTAAATTACTTTGGGTCTCGCTTTCTAATTTGCAAAAATGGAATTCAAAAGCAAAACCAGCAGAAACAGAGAGCATGGGCAATGCGAGGAAAACCTTTTTGCCTCAACCCAATTTGGTGTATTGATTTTCTCTTTATGCGGTCCGGCCTCCAAAAACACTGCTGCTGATGGCATTCTGTTCTGGTTTTTGGTTTGAAAATACAAAAACTGCACTGGGGAAAAATGTCTTTTAAAATAATGTTTAATTTTAAAGACACTTTTTCATGGATTTTCCTTTATTTTATTAATCCCAGCTTGATTCACTCGAGTAAATAACGAAATTTGGAACAATCTTGCTGGCAATATGTGATATATAAGTGATATTTTTTCCTTGTGTGTGGGGTGGGTGTGGGCCTGATTGCCGCAGGGCTAATGGTTGTCGCTGCTTGTTGAATATGCCTCCACCGGCGCACCTCGCACCTCTTGCAGACCCACCCACTCCCACCCGTAGTTCCACTTCCAAATCCCGCACCCGTTCGCTCGCATCCATGGCCGCAGGTGCCAGGCCGAGTCAGGCACCATTAGCAGTCGGACGCTCCTTCAGCGAACATCCAAGAGCAGCGGAACTTGTTTGTGGGTTGCTTTTTGGGATGATGAATTTTCCATGGCCGCCATAATGGGCTGTAAACCGAAAAACACAAGAACACAGTAGCCTAGTTTCCGCAAAATTTCAAAGGACTAAGAGGAATCGTTTAAATGAATATTTATATGTACCACTGGTTAAGTACTCATAAATGTTTTATGAGTGTTTTAATCGGAGTGTTTGCTTCATTTATTTTTCATAGCAATAACACTTGATTGAAAGTTTAAACAGCTCTTGAAAGCCATTACAAAACAGTAAGGATTATAAATGCTATAGAGGGTGATTAAAAAATGATTAAAATGATTATCACATTAAATCCTTAGAAGTGTTCTATATTTGTATTTTTAATCATCTTCCGTTAGCAACTTATCCTAATTCCATGGTTTCCTTGTTTTTCCTTTTGCCCTAATGAAATCCATAAATAACTTTCAAGAACATAAGCGAATCAATCAAAAAACTTGTGATTCCTGGCCCATCTGTGTCCGTTTCCCTTCGATTAAGGTCTTATAATTTATGTAGAGGATATACTAGCTTAGCCTGCGGCTGCTGCAGCCCCGTCTTCATCGGATTCTCGTTCTTATGAAGCTTCTGCTGATGACAGCTCCGACAGCTTTTTTCTTCTTTCCTTTTCTTTTTTTTTTTTTTGCTGTTGCCACAACGACAGGAATTAAGTCATTTGTCCTTGAGTGCCAGAGATAAACGTTGTGCAGAACGACGAGACGTGGAAATAGGGGAGATGGGAGGTATGAAAAGTAGGGTGCTAGGGTGGCTGTTTTGCGCCTCTAATGACCGTACAGCCACCCTATATATAGTGTACTAACCACCTCCCCTACATACCGCCTTTTGCACACCCCAACCATTGAGTGGTTAATGGCGAAATGCGTAAATTATGTCGAGAGTATCCACATTGTTCACTTCCACACTGCTGCTGCTGTTGCTTTTTCCCTCCCCTTGTTATCATCCGCCTCCCACTTTGCCCGCCCCATTGGCTGTCATCTAATGACAAGATTCGTGTGCTGGCCAAGGTCAAAGCAATGTATTGGCTTTTTGTGCCAGTTTTCTATTCCTCTTGGCTTGTTTACCCGGCTCTTGATTCTCGGTTCAAGGGTGTATTGTGTTTTTGCAATAACACATTTATTTTAATATATTCAGCTGACCTAGCTAATGTTTAGGAATTTTTGTTGTAAATTTAAATCAGATAGAAATATGAATTATAGTTAGTATTAATATTACATTAAATCACATTTAGATTAGATGGAAATATGAATTCTTCGAATATTTTAATTACTAAATATTTATAGAATATTTTCAACTGAACTTATAATATATTTTATATTAAAAATGTATTAGCAAATTATCATATTAAATCTACAGATATTTCCATTGGTAACAATTTATATTTATTTCATTTAAAACTTCAAAACGAAGTATCTAAAAGTCGGAAAATTGTTTCGAATCGAATTAAATTTTTTGTTGGTGTGGTTTATCCGAACTCCCGCATGGATATAGAGAGCACAGACACTAAATCAATGTCGCTCGTCGCTTTTCAGTACGGTTTTCATTACTCATACGCAGCGTGGCACCGGCAGAGCGTGGGATGAATGTGCGTTGTGGTGTTGGTAGAGTGAAAATTGGAATGGGAATGGGAAAACCAAATGGGGAGGTGGTTAGGAGGAGGCTGAGGTGAACTGAACTGTGCTGAATCGGGGGCTCTGCCCATGACACATCTTCCATAGCTTTCGGCAACACTTTGTCTGCCATTATTGTCTGTTTCTCTCTTCGCCTTTGTTTACTTGTTGTTTTGCCTTGCTCCCATGTGGAAAACACTTTTCGTGGAAATTCCTTGGACCCAAAGTGTACTTTTGTGTGTATTATATGCACTTGCCTTCCAGGAAACGCAGCAGAAAGTCCCCAGACGGGGAAAAGGTCATTAAAGTGTTTAAGAATTGCATGCAATTATAAAGGAATAGATACTGAAAAGAATGGAAAACAGGAAAACAATGCCAATGGGCGACGTCATTAAGTTGTCTGCGTAATTGCAACAACGAAGACAAACAAAATAATTGCCCTCTCGAGTAGGAAACTTCTATTTTCTTCTCTTTTTCTGTTTAACCAACACGCAAAGGGGCCAAGATAAATATGGGGGCCAAGAATAATAGTCAATAAGCTGGAATGCAGCTTCTGCTTTGGCCCAATTAATCATCGCTGCTGCCAGCAGTTTTTCCCAGCCACTCGCTTACCTTTTCCTTAGCCCGCTTTTTAATCATTCCCGTACTTATCACTTGACGGCTTTGAGGCTGTCAAAAGTTACACTTAACCGGAGTTTGCTCCGCACCCACAACATTTACACCAGACTGCTGGAGAAGTATAGCTCATCCACTAGCACCGCCCAGCACGCGATAGATACCCAGATATGAACGAGGCACCCGGAGACGTACCGCCAACACCCACTCTTCCGCCCACTTACCCTCTTTCTCTTCTTCGGTCTTTCGATTCTCGCGCAGACAACAGGCTACAGAAACCGGCCGGTGAATCGCTTTGGCTAAATGATAACGACAGCACAACATGCGAGCAAATAAACAAACAAAACAAGTAGCAGCGGTTGAGGGGAAAACCTCGAATATCCAAATACCTCTTTTAGAAGAAAATTCAAAATATATCTTAGTTTATCTAAAAAATAAAAACATATTCCATCAAAAGATCACTGATTCATAAATTAGGGGAATTATATAACATTACCTTCAAAATTAAATACCTTTCACCAATTTGATTTCATATCATCCATAATAAAAGTTAGTATATTATTAGATAAGGTTTTACGAACGGAACTAATAAAAATACTATATTTTTAAAAACAAGTGGGTAAGCCCATTTTATCGATTACCAAGAAAAGAAAATGATAAGCACTGATATCTAAAAAATATTTATAGAAATTTTGGGTTTCCTGCGTACGTACCGCATACCCTTTGTAATCTTTGAGTACTGGGTATAAAAACAGATGAGAATCGTAATTGAAATGGACTGAAAACGGGAGTGGAAGTGGTAGCCGGTTTTTCGAAAATGAAGTGGAAACGGTATGGTTTGGGAGTGGGAATGAGATTCGGAATGAGAATGGGAGTGGGAATCGGAGTGCAACAAGTGACATCAGAAGGCGATGACAGAAATCTTATCGCAAACAATGTAGTTGTCCGATATGAGCGAGTGTGTGAAAAGCTCTCTATATTCTCTAAATAAACCAGTTCACACGATCAACAAAAACATGCTCCATAATTCTAGATCAACAGGAACTGCTGAGTAAATTTAGAGCTGTAGAACTGGTGTAAAATATTACTACTATTAAAGTTGATATTCAGTAAATGAATTTCAGGTACTCTAGTTCACACGATTGATAAACGGGAAATGTATAATAATTTCGAATAATGAATTTTCTTCATGCTCCATCTTTGATGAATTTTTTTTTCAAAGATTTTAACATTTTCACACATGATCTTTAGATCCCTAAGTGGCCTGAAATTAATAATATATCGATTCAATCCCCAATATTCTGTATACATGACTATAATCGATGAGCTGATTGAGTGGGTGCCATCTCGCTTACCCTAAGTAATTCCCATTTGGGAGGCACTTTCCCCTTTCTTCCCACTTTACACATCCACTTCCTATAGCTAAACTTTTAGTTCAATTGCCCGAATCGAAGCGTAAAAATAGCTTTAATGAGCATTTCCCATGCAGTGAGCTTTTGACACTTGTTTAGTAATATCGAACAGCGACCCACATATAGATAAGCCCACGTGTGTCGGCGTGTGTGTTCAGTTATAATGGAATATATCGAAGAGCACGTTTGTTTTGTCTCCCCATCCCCCCATTGCTCATATTGATTTGAGTAATTTCTCTCGGTGCGCGAGTAGCTCAGCTCTCATTGCTCCCAGGTGTTGTTGTAGGCGCCCGCTCTCGCCCCACTCTCACTGCAACAGTGCTGCTAGAAGCTTAAAGTAAAAATAGCTAGATTACAAAAAAAGAAGGTGCGCTTTAGATAAGCGATTCGACCATCCCATACCTGTTACCCCTTTTTTTTTATCATAATTTTGATAAATCAAGGCCTACAGCTAAAGGTCTGACTGTTTTGATCAGCTAACAATCTAAACTATTTTAGACCAATTTTCGAATTTGATTCTGATATTTTAGGGCGGAAAATAGTGACTTTTTTGTCGTGTTTGTTTTTAAGTTAGCCTATAGAGATCGTAATATTTGGCCGATCATCAAGAATTTTAGTATGTGGATGGCCTTTAAGAGGGCTTTCTCTTGCGATTAAAAATGTTATACATTTTAATATAGATATAGCTTAAATACATTATATAGTATTAGCTACAAAGATATATATTTAGCTATTAACAAGCCAAAGGGGCAACACACCACCCCATTCTCCCGCTGCCGCGCTCTCTCTTTACTCATCGCAAGTGCACAAAACGTGTGGAGCTCCCAACAATTCATTCATTTCACTGACAAGCGCTCGACGGTTCACACACTCGGCACTCGAAGAAGAGAAAGAAGCGGCGCAAAGAAAGCTAAATAATAATAATAATAACAATAATACGGGAGATAAACAGATAAATCGGGCGTAGTTAAAACCAAAACAACAGCAACAACGGCTAAAAAGACAGTCAACCGTGCTATCTGTGATTAATTTACGAAAGAAAACAACGAAAAAAAAAAACGGTGTGCCTTTGGTTTAATTTTAAAATTAATGAAAAACGCAGTAAAGTGTAAAAAATAGTTAAATATTTACCGTTTTAGTGCAAATAACATAAAAATAAACTTTGTTTAAAAGGTTAATATATTGCTCAAAAACTTTCGGCATCCCAAAACATACTTTCTTTAATTACGATTTAGAGTTAATCTGTTTGTATTCATTGTTATCCAACTGTTTAAATAACATATGATCCGATTGTTTTCCAAAATATCAGTAAATGAATACAACAATATCATTAAGATGGGAGTGTGCGTAGGAATAATTAAAAACAAAATAGGTTTTTAACGGTTCCCGGCACTTAACCTAACCCATTTGTATTGTACAAAACAAAACCGCCCATAAACCGAGGCAGTTTATAATAACAACGCAAAAGGCAGATGCCTTTTGCTCCACCGAGCGTTTATCTTAGTTTTATTCAGCTTCAGATACGAGTTTGCCCATTACTGATCCAAAATATATATTTACTTACTTATACTTATACTTATACTTATATGTATATGTTTATCTTGTTCCGCAGATCGCGTTGCTGAGTATTCCGACGAGGACGAGGAGGCCGAGTTCAGTTCGGGCGAATTCAACGACGAGGCCAACGAACTGGGCCTGATCCGGGGCTACGATCCCAAGGATCCGCGGGACTACAACCATCCGGCCAAGCATGATATGCGCAAGTATCGCAACAAGCTGCAGCGCTCCGGCATCGAAGATTGCGCTCTAGTTGGCCACCATCCCGGCAGCATTCAGCATCCCGTCGACAGCGACAGTGAGTTCGAGATGAAGGACAAGAGCTCGTCACGGGCCAAGTTTAGCCGGGTGAGTCAATCGGGAAAGAATCGTGTAATCCCAACCAGCTGTTTCGCCGCACCCGGCACCCAAAAAAATTGTCTCTTACGCAAAAAGTATTTTCATTACCGCTCGATATATAATTGCGTGGCAACACGTCAGCAGTGAGGCGGGGGTTCTTCTATTCAGGGGGCTCTAAAATTCATTATGCAAAGTGAATAAATATCACTTAGTAGGCAGCTATCTATATAGATTACAAGCACACATTCGCACATACTAAAGAGGGGCAAAACCGACCATTCAGTAAAAGAGCTAGAACATTTTTGTTTTATTTTTCAACCTTTTAATCAGAGGCTAAATGTTAAGTTAGATAAAAAGTTTGCGGTATAATCACTAAAATATTTACCATATTTTATTATATATATATTAGTCGTCTCTAAAATTACAGTTACTAATAATAATAGTTACAATGGATCTCGGTATTACTTACCTTCCAATACAATACATGATTTACCACTGCCTTTTAAGGAATTCCCCAGAAATTAGCATAAGCTAATCTATAAGGCATTTCCATATTATTCACATTTAGCCCAGCCCAGCCCACTCTATTCACCGAACTATGCTTTTAGCCTTGTCTTAGTTGTTAGTACCTTGTTGTTACCTCCTCATTCTTGTCAAGGCATTTGCCAATTGCGAAATATTGTCAGTTCAGTTCAGTTCCTTGCTGCTAACCCAGATCCCAGACATAAACAGACCCACCAACAAATCAAATGAAATATGTATCAAAAATGTATCCCCATAGTATATATAGAATAGAGTGGATATTTATATATATACTTATGTTATTGTTGTTCTCGGGCATGCCCCCAAACGGGGTGGCCAAGAATTTCTGTGGCAAACAGTTGACAATTGTTGGGGCGGCGGCCTTGGCGTGTCGCTTACTCGACTCAATTTGCTTAGATTCGCCCGGTGGCATACTTTCGAACCTATGATGGCTATATCTCAGGGCTATATCGGGCTATACGGTGGATTGACAAACGGTGTGTTGTGGGTAGCGATCTATAAAAGAGAAGCCACACAATTTCCGCATGACAATGGATAGAAGTTGGATTAGATCAAGGTCCTTAATATGAGATTTATTTAGTGTTATCATAATGCGATGTAAATAAGTGACCAAAACAGAAACATATTTTCCTTTAACAACCACATACAAATATTTCTTTCTTTCCTTACCTCTTTTCCTCCTTTTCTAGCCCCTTTGTAGTTAGAAAATTCATTCTTTATTTATGGGGTTTTTCCCTAGGAATTTTAATTTTCGGCATAGCAATGGATAGAATCAAGGACCTTAATATGTGACCTATTTTTTGTTTCTTTAAGTGACCAAAACAAAATATATATTTTTTTCTTTAAGAACCACAATAAAATATTCATTTTCTTTCTTACATTTCTCTCACTTTCCATCCAAAACACAACCTTTTTTTTCTCCTTTTCTAGCCCCTGTGTAATTAGAAAATCCATGCCTTATTTATGGGGTTTTTTCCTTGAAAGTATGAGTACTAATCACAACAGAGACAATTTTCTTAAGCTGCCGCTTAAATATTTAAACAGCGCCTGGCTTTGACTAGGCTCAGCTGTTTGGGCCAATTATGGACTCGTCCTTCACTCCTCTCTGTCCTCTTCCATACCTTCCTTCAACGCACCTGGCCAACATCCGTGGCACAGGTGTAAAATTAGCCTGCGGCTTTTATTGTCATGGCTTCTGCTTTTTTTTTTGTTGCTAGCTTTTTATCGCAGGATCATTTAAAATGCCTGCCGTAGATAAAAACCCGCCTAATGACAGGCGGTACGGCACAGGAAAAAAATATAAAACAAACAAAAAGATACCGATGAGAGAGCTGGGCAATTAAAAAAGAACGATGCATAAATTTTAAAAGCTCTCCAGTCGTCATCGCTGATTGTCCTTGAGATTTTGTTTAATGACCCATAAGCAAGTTTAGATTTAGCCAGGGGCAATTAAGAGGTATTAAAAAGGGGAAAGGGGAGGAGTGCAGAAAAAATATGTTGTTAATGTCTTACAGTTTCGATTTCCTGTTTTCATCGTTTTTAATGGAGATATTAACTTTATAAAGAAGCTCTACTCTAAATAAATTCATAGAATATGTAGAAAGTTCTTTTGGGTAATTGTTTTCTTTCGTAAATTGTAAGAATATTCATGTTACAAAGGGTAATACATATATGGGGGATAAATCCCCCAACTTGGGTGAAAAATAAAATGAAATGTGTTATTCAAAAAGTATGCAACATAAGTTTTAAAATTTCCCTTAAATTCCCAAATTCCCTCTTTTAGACGATTTCGCTGCAGCAGCGGAACTTCAAGCAGAAGATCGTGGCGCTCCTCAAGCGATTCAAGGTGAGCGAGGAGCTTGAAGGGGAATCGGGTCACCGGGGAACGGCGGCGCTGCGCGGAGAACGCGATCTGGATGCACTCTTCCAGGAACTGGAGTCGCTCTCCTGCTGCGAGGGCGACGACTCGGGTCCGGACATGGACAGCATATCGGTGGGATCCACGCCGAAGCCATCGCTGCGTCCGTTCTTCACCAACTCGCGGATAATGCTGCACGACAACCTGACCGGAAACGGCGGGGATCTGAGTCAATTGCTGGGCGGAGGTTCGGGACCCGGAATCGGAACTGCTGGTAAGTGCGGATGCAGAACTTTTAATAACAGCGGGTTCTAATGGGTTTTGTATTTTTGTTGATGTGTGCTATATTAACTGGAGTTTGACTAAAACTACTTTTGCTCTATGAATTATGTTTGGCTTTCTAATGCGTTGCGTTGCGTATGAGTTTTTGGGCGTTGCGTTACGTTGCGTTGCGTTTGCCTTACGTTACTATACTGCCTATAATACTTGGACACAACAAAATTCCAATTTGACATAATAATTTAATATTTAAATAGAATTCCGGTGATTAATATTTTTTGATTGATTCAGGATTAAATTTTAATTGGGCTTTATTTTCACAAAATATTTAATATAGTTTTTCTCTTCAATTGAATTCCTGTTAGTAAAACATTTTTGATTGATTCAGGATTAAATTCTAATTGGAGTTTATTTTTACAAAATATTTAATTTGATTTTCTCTTCATAATATACAACATATAATGGCTTTTCCAGTGAAATGAAATCTCCAGAGATAATAAATACAGTAATTTCCCGGAAATGTGTAACTTTTTTTTGTTATACATATTTATTTTATATTGCCGATTTTATTTTTTCACATGTTTTTCTTATTGCTGTCTGTCTGCTTGTCCGCTTGTCGGCGATTTTCCATTGTCAACAGTTTGGGTCAAGGTTAAAAAACACGAGAATTATAAAGAAAAGTTGCGGAAAGGAATGTCACACACACAGAAACAGAAACGCATACACAACACAGCATACCGACACACACATACAGTTAAACAGGACAAATTGTTTCGCCCGGAAAATGGAAAATGGAGGCGTGGCAGTGGGAGAGAGATGGAGACAGTTAATTGTCCTGTTGACCGTTGACTGTCACTGCCTCCCACTGAATCGAGTGGGCGTGACGTCCTTGAACACTTTTCCGGGCGAAGCAGCAGAGCAACTATAATTCTTTTTTCGTAGCTTTTGCTGAACTTATAACTTTCAACTGTGTTTCAATAGATGTAAGTCAAGTATTTTTTGAACCAAAAGGCTTAGCTTAATTATACTATACTATACTTAAAACTCAAAAAAATACAAACAACAAACAAACAGAAGATACATTTTGCATGGCTTGAACAAATCTCTCTTGCAGGCAACTCTGAGCGCCGATCATCGGATAAGAGCGACCAATTGACCAATTCATCTTACAATCTTGAAAATAACAAAAACCAAAAATGCATTCATTTAACAAACAATAACAATTCGGCAACAACACCAGGTCTGTGTAAATTACAGCAAAATCTAAAAAAGAAAAGAAAAGAAAACAAATAATAAATACCCCAAATACCAAACCCCGCATCAAAATTATAGAAATACTACACACTTCTCGCATACCACCTTGCCCCTATATCACCGAAATAAGACCACAAACAGTTGTGTGTATATGGCATAATGCAATCCCTGTCCAGTTTGTATATAAATAATATCAGTAAACCCAATCGGATAAACTTTCCATACAGATATGCCCTAAAATGTCCTCGCTAGAGGGTTTACGTCATCCTGAAAATATTAAAGAAAGCGTTACTAATTTATACCAAATTATCTAAGGATTTACTCAATATAGTTTCCAAATATATTTCCATTTCGTTTGATTTTCCAAGAATAAAACATTTCGTGAGGTTTTGACTTTCTTATGGATTATTTTCATTCCAAAATTTATTGTTTCCTAAATGTACAAATATTTTCACAGTTTATTTTTATTATATGGTAAATTTATAAATCAAATATGTAAATAAATAGTATTTTCTGGATTAAAGGTAGCTTTTTTAATATTTCAAGGAGGCGTTTCCCCAAAAATGTCTTGCCTTGCTCCACACACACTCACGCACAGCCCACACACGCATACAGTTACACAGCCACACACTGCCACCAGTACACTGGAAAAATAAATGTATGCTTTGTTCGTATTCTTGCTGTTGCACCACCACCTTCGCATGCTACAAAAATAGGGGGTGGAAAGATTACGGGGACTCTTTGATTTGTGCGTCAATTCCATTGATCGTTTGTTTTTTTTAGTACCTATAGTTGAGGTGCATGTTTGTGGGGTCTTAAAATAAACCTCCTCCTCCTCCCTCTTTTTCCCACCCAATAAAAGAGAAGTTAACGTCCTCAACATGTGTGAAATTGTGTGTGAGTCTGCGTGGCATGACAATTGAACCTTCGACGCACTTGAAGCGGTTTTCCAATTAGCCAAGGCACAGACGTCAGACCCTTGAAAACAACACCCTTAATCACAGCCAGCCCCTCCCTTTTCCACTTGATAAAGTCTTGGATTTGTTTCCCCCTTTTTTCTTTTTTTCCTTCACTTTCACTTTATTTACGTGTCGTGCGTTTTTTGATTAATCGGCGCATGGCTTTGAAAATTTCAAGCACGACGAGCCGGAAATTTCTGACTCGGAAAAATATGGCTACTTTTACCCCATTCCTCCCACCTTTAGTCCACCCACCCCATATTCATGGTCATAAAAAGAAAGAAAGCTTTAATTATATTTTCGGTCCGCGTTTTTATTATTTATTTACACGGGGGACTGGGACTCCTTGGACTGGGCGGGTTAACTCTTCGCAGGGGCGTTCTATTTCGGGACCTACTATTTGTGGCCGCCATTCTGTCTCACGATTCTGTTTATCTTGTCTTGTTTGGTCTCCGCATGTCTTGTGCCCCCAGTTTCACACCGACCCCGTCACTAGACCCAGACCACCCTTTCCTCCACCTGGGGTCATCATAATGGTTGAGGGTTTTCGAAAAATAAGAAAGAAGAACAAGGCTTTGAAGGAATATAAAATACTATAATCTAAACTAATATAAAAGGGCCCCAAAAAAACGGCATGTAAGCTGTGCAGCCAAAACTGCTTGAGATAAAAATCTTTTAAGAAAAACCGAAATTCGGAAATAATTCAAAGATAATATCTATAAGATAAAGTGGTTCTTCTTTCTCATTTTTCGATAAGCCACCATATGATTGCCCCTGCCTTGAAATAGTTTTATCCCTTTAACCCTCTTCTAACCATCTCCTCTTTTCTTCTTTGCTCCTCACAGATCGCGGGGGTAACGACAGCTCCGGCAACGAGGGCAATGCTGGTGGCTACACCGATGGCCAGAACTCCGATCCGCAGAACAGTCCGCCCAGGGACAAGGAGTACATGCGCCTGCAGCAGATGCAGCAACAGCAGCAGCAGCAGTTGACCCCAGTGAGCTCGGTGGCCGCGAGCTTGGGAAGCGGTAGCGTAATAACGCCCGCCCAGACGGAGAAGCGATCGCGGTTGTTCCGAACTTCCAGCAATACGCCCGGGATCACGGGAAGTGGCGGGAACAGCGGCAGTGCCATTAGCGCCTCGGGAGGCGGCGGCAAGAGGAAGCACACCTTGAGCCTGAGCGCCGAGCCGAGATCCATGCTGGAGACTTGCCTCTCGCCCACCAATGTGGAGCCACGCAAGCTGCTGCTCGACCAGCTGAGTCGCGTGTTCGCCGGCGAGGACAGCGCCATACCGGAGGTGGTGACCATCATCAGTCCGCCGGAGGCTCTGGGCGGCAGTGCATTGTTAGCCAAGCTGGTCACGCTCTTTGCCAACTCCTTCAAGCCGGCCTTCGTGCCGCAGAACACGGCCGAGGTCAAGGCGGTGCTGCAGGCGCTCATGGCCAAGATCCAGAAGTAGTAAGTAACCATACCACATCAGATTTGAATAGTTAATTTACTAGACCCTGTCCAGGGTCTTGGGGTTTTGAAATAAAAAGAAGGAAGAACAAGGCTTTGAAGGAGTATAAAATACTTTAATCTAAACTAATATAAAAGGTCCCCAAAAAAACGGGATGTAAGCTGTTTAGCAAAAACTGCTTCAGATAAAAGTCTTAAAACAAAAACCGAAATTCGGAAATAATTCAAAGATACTATCTACAAGATATAATGGTTCTTCTTTCTCATTTTTTTGATAAATCTCCAATATGATAGCCCTGCCTTAAAATAATCTCCTCCTCTTTCAGTTGCAACTCGAACGCCAAGCCACCGCACACGGTGAAGGTGCTGCTGATTGGCGGCGATTGGCTGCAGGGAGCCACCCTGCGTCACTATGTGGAACTGATGGGCGTGCGTCCTCCAGATTGGCTGAATCACCTGCGCTTCTATCTGGTGCCCGTCGGCGGCAGTTGCGGCAGCGTGGCCCGCCATCTCAGCCAGATGGATCAGGCCTATGCGGTGATGTTTGGCTCGGACAACTGGACACAGTTGTGCGAAAGGGCGGCGGCCACAGCGGCAGCGGTCAGTGCGGTGACCACGGTGAATGCCACAGCCCTGACCACGAATCTGGCCGATGCTGCAGGCGTGGCCAAGTCGGACATCGCGGAGCTGGTGCAGCGCATTCAGCGCTATCTGCTGGCGGCAGGTCCCTGCACCCAGATACCCATTGCCGAGGCCATGGTCAACTACAAGGACGAGGACTCCTGCCAGATATTTGTGCCGTTCGTTAGTGTAAGTGGAAGCTACTTAAAAAGGTTAATAAATATTATTATAATCTGTTTTTTCTGGTCTACAGGATGTCCGCATTGGTTATTCGGATGCCCAGGCCTCGCTGGATCTTGAGGAGAACGTAGCTGCACCCTGCTCTGGCTCTACCTCCAGCTCGGCCATACCCATTGGCAGCCAGAGCTCGCCGAATGTGCATGGCGTGGTCTCGGGTTCGCCGCCCCAGCAGCAGAGCATGGGACGCATCTCGCCGCCGCTGCAGACGCCACCGTCGTCGGCTTCCTCGCATCGGGAGCGCAATACCAGTGAATCGCTGAGTACGCCATCGTCGCTGCAGCAGCAAACTTTCAGCGGAGCTCTGGCCGCCGCCGAGGCGGTGGAGCTGCAGGTGGACTACTGGCCACTGGTGAGGCCGGGCGAGGCGCATGCCAAGGAGTCCAAGGGCGGCATGTCCAAGGGAAGCGATGCCGGCGGCAAGAATAGCATTAAGAGTACGTTTAGGAACCTGCAGGTGTGGCGACTGCCGCAGCATGCACAGCAATTGGGTGATATGTTCAATGGACTGACTGTTAGTTTCGCCACCAAGGAGAAGAAGCAGAAGCAGAGTGAGTAGATCTTAATTGTAGTTTAAGATTAAAGCCTAAGTAACCCACTGTTCTCTTTATTATAGTAATGCGCTTGGGCAAGAAGAAGGATAAGGAGCGTGATCTCGAGAAGGAGCAATGTGTGGAGGGCGTGGCCCGTCTGATTTGCTCACCCAAGCAGTCGCATCCAGTGCCACTACGAGGTGAGAGATAATATTTCTTACTAAATCATTAGTTTTCACTAATTTAACCTTTCTTTTACGCAGTGTACATCGATGGCACCGAGTGGACGGGAGTCAAGTTCTTCCAGGTATCGTCGCAATGGCAAACGCACGTCAAGAACTTTCCCATTGCCCTCATTGGCTGCACTCCCATGTCCTGTGCTGAATTATCCTAGTCATTTTAACCCACAAACCACAGCAACAGCAAAAGCAACAGCAACACAGATATACAGACACACAAACTGAAACTGAAGCGTGCTTGGAGCAAGGGAGCCAGTCTTTTGCGCGGCAATAAATATTATAAAACTGAAAAGAATGATAATTTATTTATAATTAGTATTTGTAAATTTTTAGTTAATAAACCGTTAGCCCGTAACGTTCATTTAAGTTCATTTCCGCACGCAACTTGTGAATTTATCCGATACTTTCGACCCGCAATCATCAGGCACAGAGACAGACAAAAACAGACACTACTAGTTTAATGATATGCTTAAAGTAATTATTAACTCGTCAAAGATGAACAACGCGTATCAAAATATCCTGTACCAGAGGGTCTAGAACTAAAACCAAACTTTGTAGTTACTGTTTCAAGAATTTCTATGGACACGTTGCTCTTGCCTGTTGGCATCGACTAGCATACATACCCTATATATATTCTCTAACCCGCAGTTCCCAAGCGAATCGGGAGCATTAGGCCCCAAGATGATCTCAAAAATCGTTGCTCCCGTCTGGCCAACAACTATCAAACGTATCTAAATGTTATGCAGATTGCTAATGCGAACTATTTGAAAAAACCAATTGAAATATTAACCAAACCCCCCGTCGTCTATGTACTACCTAAATCAGCGAAAGATATCTGTGTGTGAAATTATATACAATACATACTATATATAGTATACCTATCTAATCTACCATATACAAAACAAAACAAAACCATGTGTACTACTCTTATTGTTGTGATTTTTGAAATTTCAAGGCAGCCCAGTCGTATTAGCGGATGTTGAAAAAACGTAAATTTATACATGTATACATAAATCTACATATATTATATATAGCAGGCACTAGCAGGAGACAGTTCGATATATCATTATTGTATATTATATTCTATTCCCTTCCCCCAAAAATCGCATTCGTATCCCCCGTAGTAGTTGCGAACCGATTAAATACGAAAACTCTGCGTGTTTTTCCCCCCGTTTGAACTGAAAAATAGATGGAAAGGCGTTCGAGGTGCGTTGAGATTGCGTTGCAAAGTGAAAAATATTGTAAGGCGTGTAATTTATAATTGTACTATTAAATATATTAAAGTTAAATACGAAATTGTCAAGAGTTTTTATTGATTATATGAATCTCGTTTGAAATCTATGAGCATCGCAAATGAATGACCTGCTGGGGCAGGCCGTTGACTAGAATGGAGCGCTCGTTGATGCCCAGAGGACCACCGATTCCACCTGGTGGCTGCAGAAAGTCATCATCCGGATAGCCCTTGGGCTGGGCAAACTCCACCAGATTGGCATTGCTCTCACTGAGCGCATCCAGTGACCAAACGGCCAGGTTCCGGGTCTTGCCGTGTCTGGCCAAGACATAATACTGTTTTTAGAGGTTGGAAATTAATAAGGAACTTACGATACACGGTATTTTTTACCCACCTGATCCTGTGTGTCCACCAGGTAGCCCACAATCAAGGCCCAGTGAGCTCGGTGGCCGGATTTCAGGCAGGGCGCATGGTTTACATCGGCATCATAACTTGGTTTTTATAAGTTATAGTTAATTAAGGATAACCAAAAGGGTTTATGAAGGTTTCGGAAGGACCTAGACTAAAACTATTTGGTTTATATTTCGCAAGTATTAAGAATTACCCCTTAAGACAAAAAGGATGGTTTTGTTTTAAAGACTTTTATTAACCTATATAGATACGGTTTGTATAAATGCAGGTGATTTGACTTAAAACCAAAGAAGAGGACTGGCTAGCCCACCCGCATGGGAGGTGAAACCAGGATGACACCATCTCCTCTTACAAAAAGCATGGGAATAGTGCGCTTGGCGGTCTTGTATACCTCCTCATAGGTCTCCTCGTCGATCTCCACAGTGGTTACCGTCTCCTCGGCGTCGCCCAGCACCATGTTCAAATGTTGATCGAAGGCCTGTTAATAGGTGTATCCTGCCTGATGGCCGTTTATCAATGTAAGGGGTAAACTACTTACGTGGAGACGTCCTCGCAGTTCCCGCTCGTTGCGCATCTTGACGTACACCTTTTCATCCAAACTCAGGCGGATGAGATCCAGCGGTTCCTTCACCGGCAAAATCACCTGGCTGAGCTGCAAGTACGGCAATTAGCGAGTTTCTTTTGTGCTCTAAAACTGCAACATACCTGCTCTGTTTCGTCGGCCATTTAAATCAAGTATTTACACTTTTTGTTTGTAAATTAAACAGGGAATTTAACAATATTTTGCAAAACACAAAACGCCTGTTTATAATTTTTAGCACTAAACAAGCGCGCGTTTTACAACACTGGCAGCTAACAGTGTGCTGTTAACCGTTTGCAAGTGCTGTTAGGCGCCAACGGAGAAAATACCGTTCTTAAACTAGGTTTAAATTTAAATTTGTGGAATATTTTTGAAAAAGGATACGGCACTAGTAGGCAGCCACCGGCTTTTAATAGTTCCTTGACCTTTTTGCTGTTGAGCGGGCCCACATGCAACTGGCAGGCTCCAGGCCCTGGCAAATGTTTTCGGGTCAGCTCGAACAAATACTGAGCACTGAACAGTTCCCCATTTAGGGTGTATTCCTGGGCAATCGCATCCTTGAGAAGATCAGCAGCCGGAGGATGACCACCGAGCAACATGCTCAAGGCCACTAGACCACAAGTGGGGCCAACCTAAGGTAATTTGATATTAAAACAGGGAAATATTTGATTACTTCATAGCTTACTTGCAGAATACTGTTTACTGAGTAGTATTGACAGTGTTTTGGAGCCGTATATTGGCATACTCGACTGAGATAGCATCCTTTCTGCAACTCCGGATACTCCCAGGCCCAACTGCACTCATCGGTGGTTATATTGACTACAACTGGCAGTTCTTTTGCTGCAGCAGGTGTCCCAGGACTCAACATCATGGGCGGTGGTGGTGGCGGTGGGCTTACAGGTGAAACGTGCGACATTGATGAGTATTAAATAAATAAATAAACTTCCTAGCAAAGATAATAACAGATAATAACCGCAGCTGATTTTGCAGAAGAATGTTAACAGACAGTGCAGTGCTATCGATAATTGATAGGTTTTTTGCGCACCTGCTTGCATCTCTAACTTACAACTGTTAAACAGTGGGACAAAAACAGAAAATCCCATATAAAAACACCCCCGTAATTAGCTTATTTGAGTTTTATTGTAAATTGTTCATTGTTTATTCTTTAAATTAAACCAAAGAGCATGAGAATCCATAAAATTCATCAGTGGAATAAAGTACATACCGAATATACGCAATTTACATATATGTATTACCAAAACAAGGAGCAATTTTACATGGAATACTATTCATAATTATTAGGATATATCGAGTAACGTTATAACTAAACAAAATTCACGCTCGAATGTTTTGCAAAGAGTGGTTTTTTGTGGAGCTGAGCCAATTACGATCGAGTAGCCAATTCGATGATGGTGCAGGAAATTATGTCGTTAATTACATTTAAAAAAGTTTTCTTTTTTTATTAATTTTACAATCACAAGATTTTTTTTGTTTGCTTCGAAGATACTCGGATGTTGTATTCTCAAGGTTGCTGTTCTGTTGCAAAAGCCAGCAGCGGTTGCGTGCAAAATTTGACTAATACAATGGCAAAAATAGTACTAGGGAGATAGGCGGGCGGGCGATCGGTCAGAAACATGAATTATTAAATACGAGTACGCAGAGCAGCATACCTATTCACTGAACGGTTACTTAGGTCGTAGGAAGTTGGGTATATTGGTAGGTAAAGCCCTTGCCAGAGGCCCCGTTTAGAGTCTGTCTGCTGATCTGTTGATCTGAATCTGAACTTTGCATCCTATCAGTTAATTAATTACTATGCTGTTTTGCTGAAATTGTTTTACTTAATCATAGAACACACTCTCCTCACGCGACGTCGTCCTTTGTGTTGCTTGCTTCTCATGTTCATTATTATGTTGGAAATATTATTTAATAATATAGATTGTGTAATTATCCATTTTGCGTTGTGTTGTTGCATTAGCACTGACAGTTGTCAGGATTGCCAGGACGATTGTTTTGCGAGCCCAAGGTGATCTGATCGGGGAAATCGTTGATGACCTCAGCCTGTAAGGGATTTATAAATTAGTTCTCTCCGTAAATAGTTCGTAAGTTAGTTTGGACTTACTTCCGCTTCCAATTCCAGCGCATTCTTGGCTATAACCTGAAACGCCATCTCCACATTGATGCCCTCCTTGGCGGACGTCTCGTAGTAGGGTATGTCGTTCTTCGATTGGCACCACTGCTGCGCCCGACGCGTGGACACCTGGCGGTTGTCCAGGTCCACCTTGTTGCCCAGCACCACGAAGGGGAAGTGCTCGGGATCGCGTGGACTGGCCTGTATGAGGAACTCGTCGCGCCAGGAGTCGAGATTCTTGAACGAGTTGGGCGCCGTCACATCGTAGACGAGCACGCAGCAGTCGGCTCCGCGGTAGAAGGCCACGCCGAGCGACTGGAAACGTTCCTGACCAGCAGTGTCCCAGATCTGTGCAATAAAAGTGTTATAAAATTGGGATTTTTAAGTAATTCCAAGTGCCTACCTGCATTGTGACCACTCGATCGTTGACAACCACCTCTTTCGTGCAGAAATCAGCACCGATCGTGGCTTTGTATTGGTTGGAGAAGCGTTTGTTTACATACTGATTCATCAGCGAGGTCTTGCCCACACTGCTGTCGCCCAGTATGATGACTTTCAGCAGGGATTTCTTGCGGCCAGACATTTCGATGTAATTTGTGGGGTTGGCTTACTCGGGGGTGATGTCTCTCTTTCGACTTTTGGCGCTGAAAGACACAAAATGGTATTGATTGAAGGTTAAAAATAAGCTCTAATTTGATTAAGCGGGTGAAAAAAGAAATTCCTTGTTTGAAACTTAAGTAAATAAATATATTGTGGTTTGTTTTTCATGATTACTTTTTATCTTCTAGTTCAAATATGAGTGTTTTCTTAAGAGTAAACAGCTGTAACTTAAGTAAATAAGGAAATTGTCGTTTGTTTTTAATAAGTAGTGTTTCTAGTCCAAAAATTACTGTTTTTTTTAAGGGTAAGCAGCTGTAAATTGGAATTCCAAGGAATATTTTATTTCGACCTTAAGTAACTAAAGAAATTTTTGATTATTCCTGACACATATTTATAAAACTCATAAATAATGATTATTTCTGAGTTTTTTGAATATCGCTTATAATGATTACGGTCCCTGGTTGTTTGTTTTTCATGATTAATTGTTATCTTCTAGTTCAAATTTGACTGTTTTTTTTGAAGAGTAAGCAGCTGTAAATTGGAATTCCAAGGAATTTTTTATTTGGGACGTAAGTAAATAAAGAAATTGTGGGTTGTTTTTAATGAGTAGTGTTTCTAGTTCAAATATAACTGTTTTTTTTTAAGAGTAAACAGCTGTAAAAGGTTTGTAATGTCAGATAAAATGACGAATATTGGTGCTATGCTGTGCAGGGTGATAAAAACAAATCCTATGAGTCATGCTGAAAACAGTGAGTGATCGCTGGACTGTGATAACAGGAGGGGGTAGCCGGGGGGAGGCGCCCGCATTGGGGGCGATAAAGCGTGATCACTGCTTATTAGCTGGCGCAGCGGAGAAAGTGCGCAGAGAGTAGACAAAGACGAGGTCACAGGAAAAACTAGCAGGGGAAAACGCCCATTTCCTCGAGTGCAGGGGGAGTTACCAATGGGGCAGTCGAAAATATAAATACTGCGAAATTGGTTTTTTTTTCACTTGGTGGTCAGATAGCCTCCCCCGCCCCGCCCCCCTTTTTCAGGGGTCCACGAACAACTTGTTTTTGTGCTCCACCATTGTGCCTTTGTGCGTACGTATTTCATGTACGTGTGTGTGTCTATTGTTTGTGTGTATGTTTGATGTGGGGGCTCCAATGGCATTTTCCATGCACTTTTTGCCTGCTGCGTAACACTCTTTTTCTAGCCGCCCTTTCACTTTGCACTTTACTCCTTTCCCACTAGCACTTACTTTGAACACTTTGGAACACTCGGCGAGCTGTTTCTTTGTGGTGCGACTACTCGATTTAAGTAAAATATTTAATTAATTACGCAGTGAATTTTGTTGTTGTCACCGTGTTGCCAGATCAGTAACGGGTCTATCGATGGGCTCAGACTATGCAACTATCGATAGGTGTTGTCTTGTCATATCTTTTACGGCCAGTGTTGGTAAACGCACCACTTCTAGTTGGCCAATTAACGAATTGTATCCTATTTTTGTTGAAATTATCACTGAAAAATATTAAATAGCTAGTTAAAACAGAGAGCTGCCAATAGCTGGTCAACGGGGCTCACAGAGGAGGCTGCAATCGACATGGCCACGCTTCCGCCGCGCAAGAGTCAGACGCCCACAAGGATCTGCATATCCAAGCAGCACCTGACGCCGCTCCAAACATTGCTCCAAATGGGCTTTCCCAGGCACAGGGCGTGAGTTTGGTCTATCTTTGGTCTCCTGGAGGTCACCAGCTGCTCTGAATCTCTAACTCTAAAAAGGGGATGTGCTTCGGGGGGCGGGTGACCTACTAACAGAGGCTCACAGATCCAGAATATTGATTTTTTCTACACAGGGAGAAAGCTTTGGCTTCCACGGGCAATCGAGGAGTCCAGATTGCCTCGGATTGGCTGCTGGCCCATGTAAATGATGCTACTTTGGATGAATGCGCCCCCAGGGAGTACATCATATATGCCTGTCCCACGGGTCCGTTTCTGCAGCAACTGGAGGAGTTCTGGGCCAAGTCGCGCCAAATGTGCGGCTGGAATGGAGCCCACAACTATGTGCCGCACATAACGCTGGTCTCGTTTTTTAAGGTGAGGATTAATCCCCGCTAATCCTATATATTTACCCCTTTAATCCCTGTATTTATAGGCCCCCGATGAGTGCTCCCTGCAGCTGTCGAAGGCCCTCAAACAGGTGGTGGACATGACGGGCGCTCTGCTGAATCGACCCCTCAAACTGGAGCCCTACATGAGCCAGAACTTCATGGGCTTCTTTGTGGCTGAGGAGGATGCCAACTTCTTGAAACGACTGGCCCTGCAGTACGTCAAGGAGGTGTCCAACTCAAGTACGATCCACCCTTCCCTTCGATTGCACACTCTCTTTGGGTTGTTTTGGTTTATGGTTTCGTTTCCCCAATTTTCTCTGGAGTGGCTTACACGGTTACGTTTGTTCTCCTCTCTCCTCCTCCTGCACACACTAATCTTCCGGATTTTTGGATAATGTGACGCCACAGTCATTAGCGATACCTATGAGCAGCTGGACGCCATTGTGGCCTGCTTCCCCTGGTGCGGAGCCGTCTCCTCGGGCACCCGCTGCATACCGCGCAGCAGTCGATGTAAGACATTAGTTAGCATAAAATCTAATCTTTTTTATCACTCGATGCATGCCTCACTCGCACTGGTAGATAACTCACTAATCTATTCACCCTATTGGCAAAATTCGACATGACGCTGCTAGTTGTAGTTTATTGTTATTAGCAGTAAGAAAAGTAGATAGCAAGGTGGGTCGATTTTGTACTAAATTATAGTAAATTTCATTATTTTTCCATTCTAGGATTTTTGTCTAAGGAATTCCTTGATTTATTATAAAAGTTATTCATTTTCCTACTAATATATAGACATCCCAGACCAACTGTAGTCCAAAAATCTAGTTGATAAGCCTTTGACGCTAGGTATTGCCCAAGATAACTTTAAATGACTATGTTTCCATGATTCCTTATCGCAAATTCGACTCACCCTGCTAGATACAAACGCTTATAAGCAGCACCGCTTCCATTTCCATTCAGTAATCGTTTGTCCCGCTTAGCGAACGGCCACTAATAGCTTCTGACTACCCAACTAGCCATCTCACTCGAGCCCCACGTAAAGAGCTTGCACCTGACGCTCGCCTACCAGTTCCCGCAGGCACAGTTCAATGCACTGAAAGCACTCGTGGAGACCCTAGACGCCGGCTGCGCCTCCAATTGGGAACTGCGACTCTATTCCCGCGATCCGCGGCTCGCCACCAAACAAGTTAGAGCTTCCCAGTTGCCCTGCCAAGATGAGTTCTAATCTAGTTTGCTTTTTTCCAGGTCCAAAAGGTCGTTTATCCGCACAATCCGCACGAGACGGATGAACTGGAGCTGCGCATCGGCGACTATATCTACTTGAACACCGAGGTGGTGGACAGTTCCAGTGACGGTTGGGCCGAAGGCATCTCCTGGTTGACCGGGAGCACGGGCCACCTGCCCGTCAATTACACCGAACGCACTGCCGAGTCGGACGCCTGGACCCTGCATCGAGTGGTGCAGCTCTCCAAGAGCGTGGCCTCATCCCTGACCTCCGCCGAGGATCTGGACATTGTGGACGGACGCAGCATATCGACGGAACCCGAGGAGCGTCAGCGTGAGTTGCATTATCAATTATTGATAGCACTTGAATGAAAGTTTCCTAGAAATTAATTTTTATCAGTAGGAAAAACATGATAATTGGTTTAAACGATTTGAGCACCATGTTGATAACGATGTTAATCAAACCATAATTAATTTTCATTCAATTAAGTGTATTTTTTATATATTTATGAGTGATTCTTTGTGAAACGTATCGAGATGTTCTTCATAATCTCAAAACGATATCTCACCTATATTTAAAAAAGTACAAACAAAATCTATTTGATAGAGGCGAAGATATGGCAATGCTTTATTTTTGTTTAATTCATTCATAATTTAATCATTCACAAATATAATGTTTATAAAAATAGAAAAATTAAAATCGAATTAAAACAAAAAAAAATCTATTTGATAGAAGCGAAGATATGGCGATGCTTCATTTTTGTTTTATTCATTCATAATTTAATCATTCATCTTTATAAAAAGAAGTATAATGTTCTATACATTATCCTTTTTGGCCCCAGAAAGTTTTGTCATGGGACCTCTATTAGTTTCTGCATAATTTAATAAATCAGTAAAAAACAAAGCAGTCATTCCTTGTTACAAATAAATACAGATATTCATATAAACATAGTAATACCATTTTTACATGTCACATCCAACAGACACCGCCCATCCCGAGATCATCGAGGGCTCCTCCTTCGAGGAATCCGAGCAGAGTGTGGAGAAGTACTTGCGGCAGACGCTGAAACCCTGTCTGGAACTGCCCTCCGTGCAGCTGCTCAACAGCCACAACTTGTCGCATCAGCACAACCCGAACACGCCGACAATTGAGATCACAACCAACATGTCTTCCTGCTCCACATCCGTGTCCAAGCAGCCGGTGGATGAGATTTTGGTGGAACCGCCTGCAGCTCAGCCTCCTCGGCCGGACGACACACTCAGCGTCCACTCGGAGGATCACTCGCTGCATCCCGGCTCACTGGATGCCTCGCATGCCAAGAACCGCAAGATCTACATCATGCGCCATGGCGAGCGGGTGGACTTCACCTTCGGCACCTGGATTCCCTACTGCTTCGATGAGTTTGGCAACTACATGCGGAAGGATCTGAATATGCCCAAGACGCTGCCGCGTAGGAAGAACAGCCCCGAGGGCTGGCAGAATGACTCGCCGCTGACCAATGTGGGTGTCTACCAGGCCAATCTCATTGGGCAGGCTTTGTTCGAGGCCCAGGTGCAGATCGATCATGTCTACTGTTCGCCCTCGTATCGCTGCATCCAGACTTGCACCAGTGCGCTGGAGGGATTGCAACTCACCGGCAAGCACAAGATCAAGCTGGAGCCGGGCTTGTTCGAGTGGATGGCCTGGTATCCCAGCGGCGTTCCCGACTGGCTGACTAAGAATGAGCTAGTTGAGGCCAAGTACGATGTGGATCTGGACTATGAACCGGTGCAGCCGGGCTCTGATTTAACTGTTCGCCTTAAGGAGTCCACCGAGCAGTTCTACGAGCGTAACCACGACGTTATCCTGCAGCTGCTGGAGCAGACAAGTAATATATCTACTAGAGCCCTGCATGAATGAATGGATTCAATTAATTATTTTGAATTTGTTGTTTTATATGAATGATTTAATTCGAATTTTGAGTTTAATAGAATTGAATGAATTTGAATTTTGAGCTTAATAGAATTGAATGAATGAATGGCATGAATTCCGAAATAATTCAAACGACAAGTTCTTTTGAAGAAGAAAGGGCCATAAATTTGTGATTAAATCTGCCTGAATTTTATTTACTAAGCAGTTCACATTGATTTGTTAAAAATTGTCCACTTTTTCTACTCAAAAGAAAGCACAAAAAGAATCTGGCCAATTATTATTATTATTCATTCATTCAATTCGAAATGAATTAGAAAAACATTCAATTTATTTCACATAGGATTGAATTAAACAATCAGAAATTTCATGGCATACTATGATAAAACAAAAATTGATTAATTCACGCAGGGCTCTAATATATACCTATAATTTCTTAAGAAACGATTTTAATATGTATTTTATTCCAGCTGGTAATATCCTGGTTGTGGCCCATGCCACCACGTTGGACACCTGCTCCCGGCAACTGACCGGCGGAGTTCCACGCAGCACGAACGAGCTGCGCCAGGTGATCCACAAGATACCGTACTGCAGCCTGGCCACCGTGGAGCAGGTGGACGGCGTCTGGAAGCTGGTGGAGCCCGAATGCCTGCCGGTGACGCACTCGAAGAACCCGCGATTCGAGTGGAATGCCCTGTCGGCCACCTAGTGTCAGTGCTTGGAGCAGTTTCTGTGCAAGCATTGAGACTGAGATTCGTTTTGGGATTGGGATGGAATGGAGGTGAATCACACACGCTGACGGAACTATACGTAATTAGTTTGCTTAGCTTTCGGAAATCTATATGATTTACTGCTCGCAAATTGGCGCTACATTAAGTTAATTGTACTGCCATATAAATTGAGAGTAATTTGCAATGGATGAAATGCGATTTTGTTGCGTTTTACAATGCCCTGCTTATTGATGAGCAAGCTCAATGGCCACATACTTTATTGCAATCTATTATTGCGATCTATTGACTATATATATATTGAATATATACATTTATACCATACGCCAGTAATTATACTACTCGCCGCTTTAGCCATAGATTAACTTGCTCTGTTACTAGCTTAGTTGTTACACCACTTGATTAGCCTTGCTGCGTAGCGCAGCTTTTTTGTAGCAATATATCCTAGCAACCTGTTGAGATTACTCCGTACGTAAAGCCCAAACATATATCGATATTATCGACTAGATTTAGAAGTACAAACCCATGTAACAACGCACAACACATAATGGAACAATAAACAATATACATTGAGTACATGTAATGCCAAAATATTGAGGTGTAAACTCCATTTCGCTTCCCCGAAAAAGGACAGTATGATATTTTGCATTGTCTTGTGCGACTCGGATGGGGTCGACCTTTATTTAATGCGCATAGAATTAGAATTAGTAATGTAATTGGTTTAGTTGTTAAATCTATTAATATAATTGCTGAACATTTTACTTGAATTATATATCTGCATTTTTGTATTGTATTGATTCAGTAATATATATCCCTATATATATGCTTGTTTTGTTTTTAGTTTGTGTGTGTTTGATTTAAAAGAGAAACCAGCAAGGCCGCGGCTGCAACATTGATAAAATTAATCCGATTACAGGGTTTTTGGCTCTTTGTTTTTCAATCAAAATTGCTTACGGATTTGCCGCTTAAGTATATCAAGCATTAAATGGTATATATTTAATAAAAGGGGGCCTAAAATTGCTGGCGGAGATGTACGAACTCATAAGTCAGGCTCAAGCGAGCGGCCGCCAATCTGGGACGCCGAACTCAAAGGCTAGCAGCAGCAGGAGGACGACGGCCAGCAGGCCTGCCCTCAGCCAGGATCATCGCCTCGCCGCCGGCCGGTCCAGCTGTTAGCACTGCACCTTGCCGAACTGGGCGCGCCGCTCCTGATGCTCGCGGTACTCCTTGTAGTGCATCTGGATCTCCTGCGACCGGTAGCGCGTCAGCTTGATGGACTTTCGCATCTCCTGGGTGATGGCCGCCCGATAGCCGCCCTTCCGCAGCAGCGAATCAATGGTCTGCAGCTGATCCCAGCCCTGTTCGGTGGCCACCTGCGGCAAGTAGGTGGCCGTGCGCTTGCAGCCGCGCTCCGTGAGGAACTCGATGCGTATGCCATGGACGCCCAGCTGCCAGTCCAGGTGGCCCTGGGCCTCCTCGAAGTTCTGGAGGATCGAAACGGAGACGGTGAGCCGCGGCAACTCATCCCGCGAGATGGGAGCGAATCGCGAGTCCTTAAAGGCGCTGGTCAAAGCGTATTCGCGCAGTCCATGGTGCAGTTCCATGGCACTAAAAGTGCCAATGCAGCCGCGCAACCGCTTGTCGCGGCCAATCTTCCAGGTGACGAACAGCGGATAGGCATCGTTGCTGAACACCGGCACCGATGGCCCATCGACGTTGTTCAGCTCGCAGTCGAGCACCTCGAAGCAGAAGAGGCACATATCCGGCACCGCGACGCTCTTCATGCCGCCATGGCCATTCGAGAAGCGCTGCGGCTGGTGGACCATCTGCTGGTTGTGGTACTCCGCATCCCCGTTGCTGGAGTGCGGCTGCTGCTGCTGCTGCTGGTAGTTGTTGTAGTGGGAGTTGGACATGCTGTTGCTGCTGCTCCTCTAATTACGTTAGCTATATAGGTCTATATGTATATTAAGGTTACGGCTAATGGCAGTGCACGTTGATGCTCTAAGTTCAATTTCACACAACAGAACAGCCCCAGTAGGAGTTGCCACAGAAACGCCGTCTAATCTTGTCCTGCAAAAGGGGGGAAATGGGTGATGAGAAGGTAGTTCATTCCAAGGCCTCTGGCTCACCAATTGCTGGGTAAACTAGGTCACCTGCTGCGCTAACCTCTTCTAGCCTGTGATTGCTCCTGGCTCCTTGCTCTGCTCCTCTGCTGATCCTAATCCTGATCCTGATCCAGACCTCGTCCCCGTGTTCCTTGGCTGCCGTCCTGCTGCTAGTTAGCTCATAAGCACCTCATTGAACTGCGTCCGCTGCTCCGCTTCTGCGTCTGCAGAATACATAGAAACAGGGTGAAAATGGAGTTTAAAGATCGCTTTGTTTCACAACAGCCTCTAGACGGGGAAAAATCGTCGGGAAAGTGGGGAAAATCGGAGGAGAAAGCCCCCCACCTCCTATCGCATTAATTGCTCTTTGTTCGCCCTGTTCCCCGTTTACCCCCACCCCCGCGCTGGCCACGGGCCACGCCCCCTTCCACCCCTGCAGCCCTTTGTTCTGGCTGGCTTATCTGGCAGCCAGGGGGCTCTCTAAGGGCACCGTAAGTGCTATATTTTACCTTTTTTCAATGTAAACAAATTTTACACTTTTTTTCAGGGCGAACTAGAGATGGGATTTCGAGAATCGCGAGTCAGGGCCACCACGAACCTATCGATAACGCTGCATACCGATGCAGGCGGCTGTGCAACACTGTTTATCGATAACAGCTGGAAGTGCATTTCGTCTGGGATTTATTATTGTTAAATTTCGGGTTTTTTGTTTTCCCACTTGCAAAATGGCCCTGGCCAATGTGCTGCAGCTCAGCCAGATCGCTGGCCATGTCATCCTGTTCATCCTGTCGCTGTGCATCGTGGTGCCGCTGTTCATAAACCTCGACCAATTCTGGTAAGGAAGTGCGCAGTTTTCTCTGTGGAATTTCCCCCCTGTAAATAATTGAATACCTTGATTTTCCATTTCCCACAGTGGTCACTGCCTGCTCTTCACAACGGGCAAATGGCGCGAGGAGGACGGCATGTTCGATGTCCAGTGGGCCTCCAATGGGTTCTGCAACTTCCCCTTGATCACCGGATTCTTTCTGCTCATCATTTCGGTGGTGCAGATATACAGGTGTGTATCAGGGGAGGATTATTGGGTATACAGTTCTTTAGAAGGTATTTTCACTATACCATAGATACGCTCGCATGAAGGAGGAGGAATCGTTCATAGCCCTTTTCATTGACGTCGTCCTGGGCATCTGGATGCTGGCCATGTCTATTCTATCTGCAATATTTATTACCCTGGGCTTCATCGTCTGGTGCGATGGCATGACCGAGAGGTTCCCCTCCTGCGCCATTTCCGCCGGTCAAAACATCATCCGCGGCGACACCGAGAAGATCAACACCTCCGGTTTCTACATCGAAATGGGAACCACTCAGGTAAGATAACTCAAAAGATCATAATACGATGTTTAAAACTATAAAAATAGATTATTTTAAGCACTATTGCATATTTTCTTAAATTGTCTAACTTTAGTATTTCCTATATCTGTGATATTATAGCATATCTAGAATACCAAGTCGATTCATTATACGTAATATTTAAAATTAGATTCGATTTCATTGGTATTTGAAATATCTTTGACTTGTGACAGTCTACAATACCACGTCGTATACGCAATATTTTAAAATAATATTTATTGGTTTAAGATTTAAATACTTTACAACATGTATTATGCGTATACGTAATATTTCAAGATCATATGATTGGTTTTTGGAGAATATTTTAAGATATATTGATTGGTTTTACAGTTGAATACTTTACAACTTGTATTATACGTATACGTAATATGCAGTTGTGCTTAAATGCATCCATAGTTCTTCATCACAGACACCTCTCAATTAATTTCTCTGTTCTCTTTCAGTTTGGTGCCTGGGGCTCTTTCGCCATTTCCGTGGGTATCGGCGTCATCGCCCTGCTGAAACTCATCGACAACCACCAGGTGCGCAACATCAAGGTTTCCATGTACTTGGAGCGCCAGCGGCTGGTGAATCAGCAGCAGTACGACGGCCGGTCAACCCCACCGATCGTCTCGAATGCCTCATCCGATTCGGAGCAGAACAAATAGTTGACGTTTGGGACCAGCCAGCAGTTTATAGTTCTCTACGTATTTCTCATCATGTGCGTTATAATCATTGTGTGTCATTTGGTCCTCGTCCTTATCATCGAGGCGGAAACTCGGCAGCGCACCTTATCTATGTAGTGAAGCTCGGAACTAACTAAAGATATTAGCCCTATGAACTAAGCCAATTTACGTGATATGTATTGTATATAAATGTATTTAATTAAATATTCCACGTTACAAATATAGTAAAATAAAATTATTAATATTAATAATGGTGTAGAAACTAAAATGGAAGCTAAAAAGATCAAAAGTTATAATATCACAGAGACGAATGAAATTATTTCTTCAAATGCTAAAGCTAGATAAATATATCCGGCTTCATACTTACTTATCAGGAACCACCCCCATCAAACCCAAGTGAAATTATACAATCCAAACAATATGTTATGTCAGTTACATTTATTTTGCAGTTATCTTCTGTGTTGTGTGTGTTTTTCTTGTTGTTGATGTCATTCGAATCTGTCGCAATGTCAAACGGATTTGGTTTTGGATTTCACGCCTGCACTGCAACAGAATGTTCTTATAGACTTTAAAGCGACGCTATTGTACATTTAATATTAAATTCCGTATTTGCTTGCGTAGTCTGTTACAATTCAATTAAAAATTTCTTGATCGCTCGGCATTGAGAGCCCCTGATCGCAGTATTTTTGTTACTTCTTTTGCGTCTAAATTCAATCTTTGCCTGCACCGAGTTTGTTTCTTAAATGTGGAGCAAAAATGGTGGAGATTTACTTGTTTTTTGTTTTGTTTTGGTATAGAGAAAAATAGTTACTTGTACATTTACGGGCTTTGCGCAGCTTGAATCTCTTCGATACTGTATCTGCATCTACGACTGCTTGGAGTTTAATTTTCTGTTTTCTGTTATCGTTTTTCTGTTTTCTGGCATTCATGAAACAATTTCTGGGTTCTTACAATTAACACTACATCAATGTATGTACTATAATTAGTATTTTTAGTTTTTGCGTTTTTTTTGTTTTATGGGTAATCATGTTTTGGATTTCTTTGAATAGCATATTATTTAAACTTACATTCTATGTTTGTGTTTTGTGTGTTTTTCATATTTTGTTTTTCTTATATTTGGTTTTTTTTTTTTTTTTTCTTTTAAATACATTCAAAAAACATAACGCAAGGGTGTAAAAAACGATGTGCAGTGTTTTCTTGTTGCGGTTTCTCTTTGTACGAAATGAGGCGATAAAAAACGAAATCTCCTGCGGGCTGCGATTCAATTTGCTGGGGGCTAATCGATCCAGTGAAGGCCAATTTTGGAAGGCCTCCTGGAGGATGGGCCGGATGACGACGCCGCATCGCCAAAGAAAAGGAGACGCCGATGGCTACGCAATCTGGGATGATATAGTGGTTCCGAATGGTAAAGCAAAATCATAGGTTTTTTTCGTAATGGTCAAATATAAAAATTGGCTCTGGCGCATGTTTCGTTCAATCCATTGCATAGCCAACGCCTGGCTGACGAAGGGCGTGTCCTCCGATCTCTGCCTTATAAACAGAGACGTATGTCACGGAAATCGGTCGAGTGTGCTCCGATTAACCCCTGGCACTGAGCCCCTTAATCGCAGCCGGAGGTGATTTGCCGAACGCAAAGGGTGGTGTATTTTTTATAGAGTGTGTAGTATATAGATGTAAGGTTCAAACTTCCAGGACCTGCCGCCCAGAACCCCACCGCCAAGATCCGTTTCCGGTTCCGGGTGGCGGGGCCAGCGGAATGATGGCCTTGGATGGTTTGGTTTGATTTTGGTGAGCACTGCCATTCGATTTCCGTGACCTTTTCCATGGCAGTGCGTGTCTAGAATGGCTTGCGCGGGAAAAACTCTCGTCTGTTCATGGTTGTGTGTTTTTTTTTGGGGTTCGGTGTGACCTTGTGTGGGCGGCGGGTCGGCAGCCGAGTGCGTCCCGCTCTCAAAGGTTTATTCGGGTTCGAGAATCGGAATCCCGAATCCGGCTATTCCCGCACCCAACTGGACCGCGTCGTCGCTTCGTGTAGTGTGTGCCAGGGATGAACCGAGTGCGCAGGCGTATAGCCGCTGAGGCGGGGGATCCGCACTCGACCCTTCCCTGGCCCCCAGGATCCCCAGGATCCTCAACTCTGTTTCTGGTACTATGGTGTCTAGTGTATAGTGTGTCGTTCACATAAGATAGTAATGTAAAATTAGTTATAAAACTTTCGAAAAATTGTTTTCTTTATAAGCGCTTTAAAGTTGAAATTGTAGTTTTCGGATTTTGTGTCCTCTTCTTCTTCCTTTTCTAGGCGGATTTTTGACATCCAAAATAAGTTGTTATCTTTTTTTCAGACAAATGCAGGTAAAATACTTGCGATGCCTATACGTTCGAAAATGCATTTTCCTTTTTTCTCGTGGTTTCACATTTTTCTTTTGTGGACGCACAGCAGCGGAGAAAATTCATACCAATTGCACAATCCAAAGGTGTTTTCCGTTTTTTAATCAATGGCGCCCACAGGACGAGCTAGGCCCTCTCCTGTGTGGCTTCCAATTTTATTTCGTCCCAATTAGTAGTTTGTAGCCAACTATGCAATTTGCAGCTTTTTCCCCTCACCAAAGTTTCAATATCGAAGCGATCTATCAACAAAAAAAGTTTCGTATAAATTTTCCCGCATCTGCTGTACGTTGTTATCTTGACCTGGCTGGGTTTTCGTTGGTTTCTGGAACGCAACATTGTTTACCGTTAGTTGGTAATAGATTTTCTTCTTCTTTTCATCTTTTTTGTCATAATTCGGTTTACACGTTTTTTCATTTAGTTATAACAAACAATTTTCAACAATTTTGTACTTTTTGTTTTGTTTTTTTTTGGGTTTCTTCTAGCCTTAGCTTTATTTTTCTGTTTTCTGTTTCATTCTCCCTGTTTCTGTTTCGCTACTGCTTGCGCTTCTCTCTGTTTAACGGTATCACTAATCGGTTTCTGCTGTTTCTTACATAGGAACAAAACGAGAAGGAACATAATTGAACTTGAATTTGATACAACTTGGCCAGACTATTGCTGAGTTTTGTTTTGAATTAAATCTCCTCCTTACACTATATACCCTCTATTGTTTCTGGTTTTCTGGTTTAACATTTGAATATAGATTAGTTTTCTGCCTGCCCTTTGCGCATCTTGCTTTTAGATCTAGAGTCTTTTTGGGCGGACAGTGTTGGTTCGAGCTGTTTGAGTTTAACGTACTTATTTCAGAGACATGGAAAGGCGGTGAGCTGCTAAACTGATCATCTAATCCGTTCTAATTATTATTTCTTTGGACTGGAGACTCTTTTTACAAGTAATTTTGATTACAGCTTTTGATTTTCGAGTTGCCTGCTCTTTGGTTTTGCTTTTGGTTTTTAGAGTGTGTGATAGAGCTTGAAAAACATCGACAGTTTTCTATTTCTCAATATTTAATCGATATTATCGAATTGATATTGTCAAAATATCGAAAATATCGATAACTTTCAAGCTCTACTCTGTGTGTGGACTATGGACTGCTGAGTTGGCTAGTGGCTTCTCCTTCTTCTGCTCCTGCTCCGTTTTGCTGCTTTGGTTTCTGTTTTTTTCTTGGTTCTTGCTGTCGGGTGGGGAATCGGGTGGTGGGCTTATCGTGGGTGGGTGTCTGAGGGGGTGGGGTGGTGTGGAGTGCGCTGGAATTAGCACGTTAAATCAGACGCTCGCTGTACCATATTCAGAAATCCGTGTTGTTCGTACCGCCGTCGCCCTCGGCGCCCTCCCCGGCCACGCCCACCTCGCCCACGCTGGGCGGCAGGGCCAAGGACAGCTGGGGGGTGGCCGAGCCGGCCACCATCATGGTGGGTTCCGTGTTCCGCCGTTTCATTTTCAGCTTGTTCTTTTTCAACATGGTGGCCTGCGTTCAACATTGATAATTTCGGATTTTTAACCATATTATTTAGAGAGATATTAGGGAAAGAGGCAAAGCGTCCAGTGCATTAGTTAGATTAAAATGTTCGTTTTCACAGAGTTGTTTCATTTGTATTCGTGTGATTTTCGTGTGTTTTTTTTTTTCATTGGAGAGAAAAAGAGAGTAAGAAAATAGAGCGTTAACGTAAAGGAAATCAATTTCGTTTGCCTTAGCTTAGATTGAGTTTGTTATAAGTGCTTCAAAAAAGCTAGCTGAGAAATCAGGCAAAATGCAACGGAACTCAATCAACTAAATGGTTTTGTCGGTTATACATATTTCGATTACTGAATGGATGGATTACGAGAAAGCTTGCATTTGAAAACGGAACAGAAACGGAAACGGAAATGGAATCAAATTTATTCAAATTTGAACCTCCAAGGCGGAAAATCAAATCAAATTATCGCATAAAAATTATTAAGAAAATATTGTAGACAACTTCTAGGCGCTGTGGTGTGTGGTGTAATTGGTGTTTTTGGTGTACTGAGGTGGATAGTGGTGGCTTCAGTTGGCTAAGTTCAAGTTCAATAGCGGTGGTCACAGTTCTTCTGGTGCAGTGGGTGGTTATTTGGTTGGTGGGTGGTGTTCTTGGTGTTCTTGGGTGGTGGTTCAAAGTATCTAGAGCTTGCCAGCACTTTTACTTTTATTTACAGCTATTTTTGTTTAGTTTTTACTTTTTACTTTCTTTTTTCTTATTTTTTGACTTTTGTTAATGCTATTTCTCTCGCTTCTGGAAGATTAAGTTTTATTTGCTTGCGCATTGGAGTTTTGCTCTTGTTTAAATATTCGATTTGCGATTACAATTTGGCCTTTATCTCTGCTGATCTGATCTGATTTGATCTGTTATGTGGGTTATATAGGGTTATCTAGGATTATCTGGCTATTTGGCTATCTGGTTTGTTTATGGATTGAAACAGGAGAACCAATATCGCAGGCCGGTAGCCAAGCTCTAGGTGCTGCCAAAGCCGGCAGGTGGAGCCATCGAAGCCTCCTTCTCCTTCTCCCCATTCTCGGCCAGCTGTTGCTGCTGTTGTTGCTGCTGCTGTTGCAGTTGCTGTTGCGACTGGGACTGCGGGGATCCCGATTGCGATAAGGATCCCTGTTGAGCCACCGAAAGACTCAGAACCGCCGGCGAAATATGCGGCTCCGTGAGGCGGCGCTTACTCTTCGTTTTCTTCAGCATGGTGGCCTAAATATATAGCGTATAAAACACACACATTGTCAAATCCGACATACACACACAGGCACACGCACATCAAACAGAGAAACATTTTAGAACTCTACATAGTTTTGTTCTTTTGCCGATTTCATTAGTTTTTTTTTTTAAGTTTTTTTATTTGTTAATTTTTTTATTTTTTTAATCTGCCATCAACAAATGAAAAATGCAGAAACAACATGGCTATTTTACATGGTTAGGGGGTGGCTCGGGGTGTTTTCAAGTGGTGTGTGTGCTCTATTAATTAATTACGACACATCGGGCGGGATTTACCAGGGGACAAATTACAAATTTAACATACAAACACGCATTTCCAACGCACACGCAGACAAAATGTTATTTGGGTTTTGACTTGATGACAATCGATTTGGGTTTTCGGTTTGAAAGTCATTTTAAATTAACTTCAAGAAAAAAGGATGTGGTATTTTATTTTAAATTTTTTTTTGAAAATTCTTTTTTTTAAGAATAAATAATAACACTCTTTAAAATGAAAGCCATAATTTATTTACACGCAATTTCTAAATATTTTACATATTTATGACTCCTAATTAATATCTTTATATCCGATTATTGTTGTTAATAACCGTTTTATTTTATAGAAAATCCAACTGATTGTCATCTGGTTTTATAGTTATTAACAAATACTTTTCATCTTCATTACACTAATGAAAATAAAACGTCAGGCATTCCTAATATTATGTCCTAATTGCGGTTTTTTCGGTTGTGCCTAAGTATGACTTAAGTCTAAATTTAAACTGTCTTGTATGTCCTGTGAATATTTTTTTGGTAATTTTATGTTAAAGGGTGTAACAATAGAAATAAAAACCGAGAGATGGTTAAACCAAAGGTGTAGTCCTCGAAATATTAAACAATAAAGGTAGGAAAAGCACTCTTTTTCAGAAATAAGCTGCGAGTTTTTTGTTCACGTGTAGATTTAAACATGAAATGAGGCTAATTTTAAGAAGCAAGCATGCCATAGAACAAAGGGAAAGCAGATTCATGCAGGATAATCGGTTAATCCAAAAGGAGTCACTTACCTTAAGGGCCGACTTGAGGAACGACCACATCGCCGGGACTCTGGATCCAGGGTTCACCATCCACCTGCACGGGCATATCGGTATTCAAGTGTATCTTGATATGACCGCCCTGTGATTAAAAATTTATCAAACATTATTATGATGTCTAATCAAAAGCAAGGACAATTTAGATCCTCACCTGAGCTATACGCATAGCTGTACGAATTCCGGATTGGATTTGACCCAAGTGAACCACGCCAGTGACGCCGACCACCTCCAGCATTCCATCGTAGTGATTGGGCGTGGAGAACTGGTCGTCCTTGTCAGGACCCCAGGGATTGGCACCGCTGCCCCAGCTGGAGAAAGGAATTAAGGTTATTTAGTAAGGTTTTACTAATATATTTCTAGATATATTTTAGGCAGTGGTGGCCAGCAGAGGCAGCGCGAAGGGCCCACGAAATAGAGCATTTCTCTGCCGCTGCGCTGCTAGCGTTTCGACGCTCACGTACGCTGTTTTGCTGGCCACTACTGATTTAAAGTAAAATTTCTCTGCCGCTCACACACTGATTTATAGGTTAGAAATCCCTTAACTCACCTCAAAATATTCAAGATGATTATCCCATCGACGGGTGGCAAATCGACAATCTTGCCATCGACCTCCAGGCGCAGCTCCTTCTGCAGATCCTTGACAGCCTTGCGACCCACGATCTTGCGCAGGCCCATCTTCACGTAGTAGCCCTTGTTGCGCAGCCGCGAGTTGAACTGATTGGGATTCTCCTCACGCGCATTGTGGAAGTCCAGACAGAGATCGGCATCGATGCCAATGCCAAAATAGTTGTTCATCACGAAGATCTGAGAGTTATCCTCGTTTTGGGCTCCACCTAGATGGAACACCAAGATCGGTTAGTATTATACGATTTTTTTGATTTTGGCTAACAGACATCGAGACACACATGACACCAAATATATTGAACTGACAACATCGAGTTGGATTGTATCCACTGGTTAATTTACCCAAGTACAACTGGTAGAACCTTTCGGTGTCTGGACTTATCGGTGTTTACCTTACCTCTTCGGAGGGCCTTTGGACATGCAAATCCTCATGGGGATATCTTTACACATCGAAACTAAACAGCATTTATCATCAGGTACCATATGTATAAGGGGTGTTTGGGGATATCTTGGGGTGTGGCCATTTGTTTTTACATATTAAAGGCTATCTATAGTTAATTTACAAGTATCTTCTATATCTTGAAGAGTTATCTTTTTGGACTTGGTTATGTAGGTATTAAGCTTTAAAGAGAGCTAAAAAAATCAACTACGTTATATTTCTTTTAAGATATTCATAGATTGTTTTCAATCTCTACAATATCTACATTTGTACAGTTTTTTATATAGTGGTTTTGCTTGGAACCAGCGATATATTACAGCCGGATTGGGATTAAGTCAAAGCAAAGAGTTTAATTACAACACAAAGGAAACGTTTTGGGAATGGGGCTGGATCGGTTTCGGTTTCGGATTTGGAATCTGTGGGGTTAGACACTAGACGTTTAGGGTTTACGAGTATGTAACGTAGAGAAAGAACACACGAACGAAGTTTTGAAAACACCAAATGACCTGATATATCACTCGATGTCAGAGCCGGTAATTGATGATGCTGATTGGTTTGTTGCGATTGCGATAGGTGTGCTTGGTGTGCCTTCTTCTTCTTACCGGTTGTTTGCGAGGGCGCCTTCATGGCCGGCTCCTCCGGCTTGTCCTCCGGATGGAAGACAACCGTCCAGCGGTCGAGCCGAATCTCCTCCGCCTCGATGACGTCGCGCAGCAGATTGAGCGGATCCTCACCGCCGGTGTAACCGGAGCCCCAGCACAAAACGCGAGCCAAATCGTTGCCTATACAAGGTAGGGATGGTTAAAAATAATGGATTATATTACAATTAACTAGTTGTTTATAAACTATAGATAATTTGATATTACATATTCTAGTTTTAAACAGGGACGGTAACAGTTACAAGTTTTAGTATTAAAAATCATCGATTAATTCTTATTCAACACCTTTTAGGTATAAATCATGAACTGTTGTTTCAGACATTTAAATTAAAAGTCTGAGAATAACAGTTATTTTTTGACCAAAAATATAAAATTATTCCAAAACTTTTATTTATGACTTTTATAATAAAAGTTAAAAAAAAACTGTTATTCTTTGACTGAAAAAATAAAAGTCAAGATAATTCTTATGAGAAGACTTTTACTAAAAAAAATCATTAAATAACTTTTATTTGGTGATCGAAAATATATAAGTCTTAAGTCTTTTTTGTTGGAATTTTAAAGGTTCCTATTTGTACTTATACACAGTAATTCTTAAACTTAACGAGAACGCGAATTCTTCAGACCAAGAGGAACCACTAATGACCATGGTGTATAGTATATATGATTTTCGAAGATATACTTATCTACTTACCAGTTCCCAGGGGAACTATGGCGCAAGGTGGGCTGGAGCACTCCGAGTCCTGGCCCACATTGTCCAGGCACTGCAGCACCCAACCAATGGTGCCATCACCGCCGCAAACCAAGATCTTATAGTTGGTTATTTGTCGGAAAACATACAAGCTAAGAGCAAGGTATAATAGATTAGTTAGGAACAGATAAATATCCTTGATAATAAGACATACCCTGGTAGAGGACCGCCATTGTCCAGATCGAAGACCTGGTAGGGATTCAGGAGTTTTCTGAAGCTGGAGATCAGCTCCAATCCCTGACAGCCACCGGATTTGACATTGACGAAGACCAGCAGTGGCCTCACATCCGAGGGCACCATGCTGGGCTCAATGTTCGGCAGGAGCAAAACCAGCAGCTTCTTGTCCTCGATGATCGTCTCGCGTAGATTGTAGAAGGCGCGAACCTGTCAGTAAAATATATTTAATTTTCTTTTATAAGTTATTATAATAATTCCAAGACACCCACCGCCTTCATGGAGTCCTCGAAGGTGAGCACCACGGAGCCATACTCGTAGTAGATGGGTCCAATGCTGATGAACTTGTTCTCGTCCGTTACGTACTTGTTGAGGATCTGCTCGTAGTTTCGCTGCGAGAGACCCGTGGGCAGATTGCCCACAAACAGGGCAATATTGGGACCATGTGGATCCTGCTTGTGCTGCATGTAGAACCGCATGAGCTCCATTTGGCGAATCGAGTCCTTGCCCAGCTGCTTCATAATATCCCAGGGCCTTTCGTTCCACGACAAGATGCGTTCGGTGACGCCGCGATCGAGCAGCACTTCCGAGCACCTGGAGGGGATTACATTTGGGGTTAGATTAAAATAGATCTTAAACTTTCCTAAGTGGTAAACACCCACCTGTAGTCCTGTATCTGGTTATCCTGCAGACCAAACTTATCCAAAGCGTCGCGTATCAAATCCTTAATAACTGTGCTATTATCTACAGGAACACTGACATAGGGATCCTCCAGCATCGAGCACTGCAGCTTGCCGGGATAGACGCGCACATGGCCGCGATCGCGGTCGTGGAACCGTAGGTAAATGGCCGGCCTCTTTGCCCTCCAGATGGGTCAGGCTGAGCACGGGCGTGGGATCCAGCATGGGTGTGTCCTCCATGCCGGCCGGGGCGTACAAGTCGGTCAGGTAGAAGGCCTGCGGGTCGCGCGTAATGTGGAATGCCCGCAGGGCGGTGGTCAGCAGCTGCTCCAAAGTATAGGTGCGCTGCACGATGATCACCCGGTACTGCTGGCGTCGGAATGAGTTGTTGCCATCGAACACCTTGATCATCTCTGTGGGGGGTAGATAGATAATGGGTTTTTATGAGGTAATCCTTGAACTTTTCCCTTTTTATAGACTTACCTATATCCTTTTCCTCGCGCTCCTTCTCCTTCTTCTCGCGATCCTTCTCCGACTTATCCGACTTGTGGCCGGAACCGGAATCGGGCCTATAGTGTCCCGATGAGCCACCCGCTGCCGATGCCGAGGCACCAGCCGCGGATGAGCCTCCTGCACCGCTGCCTCCAGCACCACCACCACTGCTGGTGGGTCCATGTCCTGATTCGGTCTTGCTGGCCGACTCATCGTCCTTGAAACGGGGTGTGTCGCCGCTGCTGAACTCCTCGGATATGCTGCGTGCTGAGGGGATCACAGAAAAGAAGGTTACTACTTGGACAGAACCTCACTGGTACACTCAGAGTTTAGTAGCAACAAAAGCGGCCTCAGCCTGGTGTTAGATACTTAGTTACACTCGGAAAAATAGGTATTCAAAACGGATTAGAGTCTTTTTTGGATGCTTTATGCCTTCATCATTTAGTTACTACAGTGGTAACCAAACGAAGCAGTGCAAGCAGTCCGTGGTCCTGAAGTTAGATACGGTTAAACTAAGAAAAATACGCATCAAAAAAGGATTAGAGTCTTTTTTGGATGCTTTATGCCTTTTTCTTTTAGTTCCAATTTAAATACTAGTATAAAAATTGATTTCTATTGCTTTTCTACAGTGTTTGCCACAACAAGCAGTGCAAGCAGTCAATACTTTACATATTTGCTCTACCGCTGCTCTGCCAACTACTATCAAAAAATCAACTGATATATCCTATTCAATACCTATTTTTCCGATTACTTTTCATGCAGTTATGTCGGTGTTAATGATTAGTGGCAATTTGCAATGTGGGGCGGAATGGTGCAGATGATTAGTGGTTCGATGGTTAGCGATTAGTGGGTTATGGCTTGGTGGCTTCAACAAAAAAACGGGGTAACGAGGTAACCAAAAGCAAAACCAAAACAGAGAGTGGTTAGAGACCGAAACCCAGATCCTGTTAGCAGGGACAAGGACACAAAAAGAGAGAGAAAGAGAAGGAGTACGGTTTGGATGGGCTAGTCACCTCTGCGCTTCTGGTAGCGCGGCTTGCGCCAGCCGACGGAGAGGCCCTGCCGCACCTGGCGGAGCAGTCTGCCGAGGACATGGCCATCGCTGGCATCGCTGGCCCTCGAACGACTGCTGGCCCCTCCATCGCTGATGTCGCCGGCAAAGGCGGCCAGATCATCACTGCCGCCGCCGTAGAGATCCTCGAAGCCCACATCGTCGTCCACATCGGTGGCGTCCAGTCGATGGCGCCCGAGCATATGGTAGTTGTCATCGTAGGGCTGATAATTACCATCCTCATCCTGGATGGTGATCTCGATGTTCTGCGACAACCTGTCCAAGCTGTAGTTGCTCTTCCCAGCCGCCGCTGCTCCCGCTGCTACATTCTTGGGCGATCTCTTCGAGCGTCTGCGCTGGAAGAGACCTCTTCCGTACTTCTTGTACCGCGAAACGGCCGTTATGGCCGCCGACTCCTGGAAGGACTTGCTCCTGCCCACCGGCGACAGCTGCAGCAGCGTCGCAGGGGCGGAGGGCGAGGCCGAGGAGCAGTCACTGGAGTTGGAGTTCGAAAGCGGGGAGCTCAGGGATCCACCCTTGCTGCCCTGCTGCCCCTTGTGCTTGGGCATGAGTATGTGCTTGGGTTTGGGCTTGATTTGGCTTTGGTTGTGGGTTTGGGCCAGGGCCCCAGTCTTGCTGGCTTGCTGGACGCTTAAGGCGGGACCGGATTTAACCGGGGCAGTGGTGGTGGCACCTCCTCTTCCTGAGGCATTGCTGTTATTACTACTATTATAGCTAAGGTTGCTAATCAAATTGAGGCTGCTGTCGAGGTCATCGGTGTTGGTGAGTTCGCCGCCCAGTGTCCGAGGTTTCGTAGCAGCTCTCCCGGGGCGCCGTTTCGCCATCCACCTCCGCCTCGGCATCCCCGTGATAGTCCGTCTCGCTGACATCCCGCGGCTGCCGACTGCGCAGGGATCGCCGGCGCAGGGCGACGTCACAGTGGTCATAGTCATCGCTCAGATCGCCACCGCTTATATCACAGACACCGCCGTCCACATCGTCCTCGTCCTCGCTGGGCGAGATTCCGCCACCCGAGGAGCCCCTTTTCCGCCTCCTCTTGCCCTGACCCAACTTCCTGAAGAGATTCGTGTAGAGCAGGTGCAGCGAGGAGTTGGCCGACGGCGACTTTTGCAGATTGCCCATCACATTCGACGTGGAGGTGGTGGTGGTCAGCTGCAGGGCGCTGTCCTGCTCCGTGTTCTCCTCCTCGGGCTCATCCTCCGGAGCATCCTGATCCTGCTCGTTGCTCGTCTCACCGACTGTCAGCGAGGAGGGCGTGGGCGAGTGGCAGAGCGAGATGGAGCCACAGGAGGTGGGCGTGGGCGGCGTGGAAAGGAGAAAATGTTGTTTCGATTGCTCGAGCCTTTGCCTGTGGAGCTCGAGCAGCTCCTTCAGGTTAAGACCCGCCAGGGATCCCAGACCAGATCCTGATGCTGATCCCCCAATCGGGCAGCTCAAATCCGGACTGGCTGAAGGATGTGACGGTTGCCCCAAGGACACACACACATCATAAATCAACCGAAAAACGCAAATATATGCATTTTCCATTCAACAAAACCCAAAAGAGAGAAAAGAAAAGAAAAGAAAATAAAAAAAAGATAACGAAAAATAAATCAAAAATCAAAAAAGTATAGGGAAAATCGAGGAAAATCATCGGTGGGATTGGTGGAGTGATAGAGAGAGTGGTGGTCTGCCATGATCTGAATGAGCTTGAGCGATGTGATGTCTGATCGTTGGAGTTCTTGTTTTCCGTATTTATTTTTTTTTTGGGTGATCGGAGTGTGCACACAACACAACATCGATAGCAACTTTTTTGGGGGGGTTTGGGTGAGTATTGCTACATCGCAATAAAGAGGGTGAGTGCGCCAGCCTACACTGAGAAAAAAAGTAACTATCCTAAAACTATATTCCAAGGAATTTTTATACTTAGCTGTATTAATTCCTCAGATCATATAGTATTTAAACATTTATGATAAAAGAACTGGTATCTTTCTTTCAATTTACACTTTTGATGATAAGAACATTTTAAGATCAGGGGTTTATAAGCTCTAAAAAGTAGAATTATTTTGAGGTAACTATCCTTAAACAAATTTTCACAAGGAATTTGTATACTAAGCTGTATTAATTCCTTAGATCATTTAGTATTGTAAAACTGTCTTATAAAAGAACTTGTATATTTCTTTCAATTTACAATTTTGATGTTACGAAAATTTTAAGATCAGGTTTTTTAGGCGAGACTATATGGACATTTATATGTAATTTAATCCCTATTTTCTGAAGTTAACTATTTCCCCTCAGTGTAGGATCTGGCTGATTAAGAGGTTGGTTTTGGTGGGACCACGATTATATCTGGGCTTCCTGTATATCTTTTTCAAAACAGGACTTTGTACTTACGACACGAGTAGTCGCGCACGAGCGTAGTCTTCGATTTGACCTGGACGCCGATAATGGCCTCGATGGGCACCTCGGTGCGCGGAATCGAGACTGAGTGCGGAGGTAAGTAGATAGGTTGTAGAATACCAAAATTACATTCGGTTGGCAGGTACACGCGACATCCGGCATGGGTCGTCATGCCACACCACTCGCAGCGATAGCCTGTTAAGATATAGCGATTAAATTTATAAATACTAATAGTAAACTTTAGTTATGAACCCCAAACTTACCAGTGAGACATTCCGAGGACCAACAGGTTTTCTTGCAGTAAGCGCATTTGGACGTTGATGGAAGATTGCCCTCTCGCCAGTGATGCTGTTTCGGGATTAAATAATTAATAATAATCCTTATAAAAATATCTGTGATTTAACTCACCTGATGCTTCACATTAAGCAGCTCCTTGCCCGGCACATACGTGGCATTCTCGGTGCAATCGGGCACGGCAAAATCTTGGCACTCAATATGCGCGAAATATTCGCAGACTGCGGAAAAATATAAATATTAGATAATCGAAATTACGACTTAAGAACCAAAAGCAAAAAAGCTTATCCTGACATAATCATAAATATCTTAAAACGTAGCATACTTTTATGGTAATCGTTTTAGAAACCATTAACAAATATATTATTCTGCGGTAATATGTATAAGTTATACTAGTTACTTTTCTGTAACAACAATTTTCCATGTTTTTTTGTGAGATAAGGTCAATACATCTTTTAATATTCTACAATATGCGCTTGATGACTTAAACAATGGATCGCAGGTGAACAGAAGTGACTGACACGGAACACGACTGCTGCGAAAACCCATTATCAGGGAATGGGGGCACTGAAACATTCATGCATTTTCCCATGTCACTTACCTAAACAATGCACCGCTGGCGTTTCATCCAATCGCTTACGGCAGACTGTGCAGAATTTTCTCTTGTGATGAGTTGGCTCGGACCAACAATGGGCAACGGGATTCTGTGCGGAATGACACATGACAGCTATATTCGTTCTGAATTGCAGCAGCAGCACTACGTACCTTTATAATACATGGAGCGATGCCGGAACAGGGCGTTACCACGCTGCTGACACATCGTTCGTGAATGATAAAGTTGCAAACTGAAAGTGGAGGAGAGCAGAGAAGGAAGAAAGGTGGTTATGCAATCGTTGTCGGTGGAAGTTCAAAAGTTATTTCAATGAGATCACAATGACCAGCGCCTATCTAAGTGGAACATCTAAATGCCCACAGCGCATATCTATCAAAGAATATACAAAAAATTGTTGAAAAATATTTCATAAAAGATTCTGCATTTAATTCTGTTATAAATTAAAGTTGAATTAAAAATACAAAAGTGAACAAATATTTTCGTTTTTTTGTAATACTACACACAAAAAAAACCTTCGCGGTTAAAATGATATGCGCATGGTAAATTTCTGGCTCTCGTAGATTCAAAATAGAACGAGTTAGCGCTCAAAGTTACATGAGTGGGTGGAAGAAAGATATATTCTCAGCAAATAAAATCAAAATTGATACCATATAACGTAAAATCGATCTTCGTTTCATATCAAGTGTTTTTTTGTGTTTAGTTAAAAATAATTCTTTGAAAAAAACTAGCTATTTATTTCTGTTATTTCAAGAAATATTATTTTTAAACTTTAGATCTTAAAAATAGTTTAAAGTGTGAATGCTTTGAGTCCCTTGAGAGAACTGAGTTCCAAATGGGCCCCCTGGTGACTGCCTCCCGGCTCCGCCCCTGCGTGCAACCGCAAAGTAACCGCGTCATTGGCAGCCTGCATGCCATTCATAGTTGCCGAGTTCACGGACGACGGAACATTCATTGAAGTTCCCCGCAGGGCAACCAAAGGGGGCGTGGCGAACGGGGGGCGGAGGAGGCAAGTGGCAAGCTCTGAGCTAAGTGGCCAAGGTAATGCAACCAGGGGAAGGGGCAGGGGAAGGACGAGTGGCGGCACAAGGATAACTGCACGCACAAAGCCCGACTGCTTACATATCCCTCTCTCACTCTTACGTGGCTTAGCCCACTCTCTGGCTATCCTTATCCCTCCCCCTTCCACCTGGGTGATAAGCTAAACCCTGTTGCACAGAAAGAAATTAGATCATTTCGGTTCTGATATTATAATAAGTTTTTGGGAAATATTATAGAATGTTGTACCATAATAACATATCTATTTGTAGTATGACAAATACCTATTTTAAGATATAAATTATAGATATTTTAGGAACTCCTATTTTAGAATAATTTCCTTGTTATGAAACCTAACTATCCTAATCTCATATGAACAGCACTCTATGCTCCTTACGAAGACACAGAAAGAAATTAGATGATTTTGAATCTGATATTATAATGAGTTTTTTAAAATATGATAAGAGTTTTATCATAAAAGTAAAATATTATTATATCAAATTATAGTTATTTTCGAAACTCAAATTTTATAATCAATTCCTTGGTAAGATCTTAACTATCCTAATCTCATATGAACAGCACTCTCTTCTCCTTACACAAACATGCCTACATAAATATATATGTTTTGTGTGCACCAAACTTAACATAGATATCATAGTTCTATTTTTAGCCCGCCGTAAAAGTTGTATTTACACATAGACAAAAGTCGGGGCGTTTTGTAGTACACAAACAAACACTTGCTGCGTTTGTATGTATGTAAATGCATAATTATCTGTTTGCCTGTGTGGAGGGGTGCAGGGGGGAGTGACAGGGGGCGGTGGGAGGTTGCTTTGGGTGGGTGGTAGAGAGAAGAAAGCTGAAAACTAGGCCGCTGACCTGAGGCGCAGTGCTGACGTCATGAATGAACTCGTTGAATGTGCTTTAGTTTTTTGGCCCGTTTTATAAATAAAACAGCGGGGCAGTCGTCAAGTGAGAAAAAGAGATGGAGGAAGGACAAACGTGACGCTCGCTGCAGTTGCAAAACATAACTGTAGTTTCGACCTGCCAGCTAGCTAGCTTGCTATCTCGCTCTGTCGTGAGTGCTTGCCTTCAGTTTCTTCACTCTGTTGTTGTTTTGTTGCACGTGCGATGGGTGGTGGTGGGTGGTTGGGCGATTGGGTGGTGGAAATTGCAGAAGCAACAGCTGAGCATGTATACGCCCTGTGGGTCAGCGGTTGAAATGTGTGTGTTTTTTTTTAGGTATTTTCCACTTTGTTGCATGCCTGCATTATGTATACCACCAAATTTGTGTGCTTTCTCTCGCTCTCTCCCGCTGTCTCTCTTTCTCTTCGTTTTTTTTTGTGTAGATAAGCATAAGCAGACAAACAGAAACAGCGATGCCAACGCATGGGGAAATTTTCGAAATGCTTTCCCTTATGCTTTCCTTGTGTGCGTGGGGAAATTTTGGTTTGGAAACTCAACACACTTTTACTTTTCCTTTTGCTTTCCCTTTGGCCCACAGGCGATAAAACCAAGAATAACAAAGGAGAAACAAGAAGCAGAATAAGAGGAGCAAGAAGAAGCAGAGCAGCATAAAGCCAAATTTAAAGCACATACCAATACACACAAACAAGTACGGAGAAAAAGGACGAAACAGAACAAGGAGAAGAAGCAGAGGGAGTTGGAGGTTAGGGACAATTGAATACGCACAAGTTGACATGCGTAGTGCGTGAAGAGGAAGCACAATTAAAATTGATATTTGCCCAAAAAGAGGAGAGTTATACAATTCAATTGAGGTGGTGTAGCCAAAATATACACACTTATACATGCTACATATCTACATGGCGACAAATATCTAAATGCCAAAAGCAGGAAGAAGAACTCCCTTGAATTAAAAATAGCTAGACTTGCTTAATAATAAATAAGCATACACATAAACACATTCGCAAAGAGACATTTAGATGACGCATATCAAACACGCATAAATCATATTCCCCAATTGTCTCTGCACAGCGAGAAAAGTGGATGTGAAGTCCGAAATAAGCAGTGCTAAATTTCTAAAATATTAAGAACATTTATTACGATCCATCTTTCATAACTCTTAAATATTATCCATTAACTTTTAGTCAGGTTCTCTATCCCATTCTCACTTCCCCACAACACAGGCAATTTTAGAAAAATAAATTCAATTTCATAGCAATCTTTTTTCCTGATTGAAATGAAAATTGAATAAATGCAGTTTCTATTTCACTTGCAAATTGCAAAATATTTTTAGACACTTTTTTTTGAAAAGAGAGATAGAGAGAGGAAAGCATAAATTTATGTCAAATTATATATGCATTTTTAACATCCTTAAGTCGCACACTTCTTATATCTATGGTCTCATTCTTCTGCACTGCTTAACTGACATTTAATCGGACTTGGCTTGATTTCATTAACGTCGGAAGCGCTTTCGACTGGAGATTTTTTCCGGCTGGCCTGCAACGTCAGCAGTGCCCTCCCTCTTTATCGCTCTTTGGGATTCACCTCCTCCTCCTCTTCTTTCCGTTCTGTGCGAGGTGCCAGCCAAACTGACGACCCCGAAAGTCTGTTCGAAATACTCTATCCAAGGAGGGTATATATCATATTTGTATAATAAATAGTATCTGTTATAACGCTTTACTTATGTTTTATTGTTAGTTCTAACTTTTTTTTCTATTTTTAAACATGTTTCTGGAATACCCTTTACTTAATATATTTAATATTTAGTTCAAATAATTATTATCTGTTATAACGCATTACTTATGTTTATACCCGTTACTCGTAGAGTAAAAGGGTATATTGTATTCGTGCAAAAGTATGTAACAGGTAGAAGGAAGCGTTTCCGACCCCATAAAGTTATATATTCTTGATCGGATCACTAGCCGAGTCGATCTGCCATGTCCGTTGTCCGTCTGTCCGTCTTCTGTCTGTCTGTCTGTCTGTCCGTCTGTCCGTTGAACGCTGAGATCTCGGAAACTTAGAAGCTGAAGATTGGCATTTTGCTGCGATTCTAGGAATTCCTACGCAGCGCAAGTTTGTTTCAAATGGTGCCACGCCCCTCTAACGCCCACCATCGCTTATATACGATTTTAAAATTTTAATATTTTGGAAGTAAAATGCGTTTTATTGTGTTTATCAATACCTATCGAATGTGAGAAATTTTTCAAATCGGACCATTCGTTAAAAGTTATGCGTGATCACGTTTTCTTCTCTATCTCCATCTCCCTCTCCTTTCCTGGTAACGGTATCTGTAGTCGGGGCATCCGACTATAACGTTCCTCTTGTTTATTATTAGTTCTAACTTCTCTATTTCTATTTATAAACCTGTTTCTTGAATGTCCTGTACTTAATATATTTAATTGTTATAATTATTATCTGGTATAGCGCTTTGGTTATGTTTTATCATTAGTTCTAACTTCTCTATTTATATTTATAAACATGTTTCTGGAATACCCTTTACTTGATATTTAATTGTTAGTTCTAACTTCTCTATTTCTATTTATAAACATATTTCTGGAATACCCTTTACTTGATATATTTAATGGTTAGTTCTAACTCTTCCCCTTCTATTTATAAACATGTTTCTGAAAAACAGTTTATTTCAGTTCTGTTTCTTGGTATAAATTTCCTTTATAAAGTTTTATTGAAAATCCCCGATATAGTGTATTATTTGATCGTTTTCATAGGTAACCCTTTGTGGCTGTTCGCCTTGTTCTCCATTCACTTTGGTTATGAATGAACAGCGTCGACAACGAGGCAATTAACAAGGCAAATCCCCCTTCCAACCCCATCCCCTTTCCCTTCCCATCCACCCCAGTTTTGGTTTTCGGTTCCGCTGGCTTCGTCGTCATTTTCCATGGCGGCCATTGATGACGCACTTTTAGCCCTTCGCTGCTATCGGCAGGGGCACCTCACTCGGATTCAGATTCGGAACCAGATCGTTTGTGGAGTGGGGTTGGTTCAGGGGCGTTCTGTTACCGGCTTGTAGATATTCCAAACCAAACCGAATCCCCCACCCCTTCCCTTAGGTCATGCATCCAATTTGATTTGGGTGCGCACCTGCTGCTCTTCGCTGCAATCCCCTCCTCCTCCTTCGCCGCTTCCCCTGGAAAACCAATTGAAAATTTGCCTGCGGCCTGCTCTGCAACGAGAGTGCATTTCGCATTTGACCTACTTTCGAGAATCAGAGAGCCTGAGCTCTATTTCTGGTCTTTTTCTGGGTAACTGCGTGGGCCGCTGCAGCTTCAGTTGTACTGTAGCTACAGCTGCATCCGGGATCCAATTAGATATGCAACTCAATTATGACGGCAGTTTGAATCATCTGCCCACTTCAGCTTCAGCGACGCCTCTGCACTCTGCACTCTGTGCACTATTTCCATTCGGCTAACGCGGCGTATACGTGACGTGACGCCCCCGTGAGTATGCAACAGACACTTAACATATTTTTCGCACATATAGTATTTACATATATGCCTGCTTAATATATATATATAATATAAATATTTTGCCCGCCATTAACACAGTGCCGAAAATGCACTGAAAATGTCATAGGCAAGTGCAAAAAGAAAACAATTCGAAATTTCGGGAATGGGCAATAAATTCACCAGCTAAATGGTGGAATAAACGAATGAGTGCATTTAAGGCATCTCGGTTTTGTTCATTCAGAGATATCTTTTATGATCTTTGGCTCTGTAGCCATTAAAGTGAACAGAGCAGCAAGCCATGGTTCGCTGAAGAAGACCAAAAACATGTAAACAGCTTGGGTTATAAATATCTTTCTTTTGAGTATAAGAAATTCAAAAACATTCAGAGATTTTAAGTATTCGAAACATATATATTAAATAACTACAACTAATTCAAGTGGAAATCATGGACCTTTAAAAGATCAATCAATTTACTTATTGGTTGTAGAACAAAACCTTTTGGAATTTTATTTCCTGTTTATTCCAAATTATTAATTATCCATACATTTTAAAATATATAAATATGTTTAAAATTTAAATACAATTTTATAACTTCTAAAGCCAAAAAAAAAATTATATGAAACGATGATTGATTCAACGTTTTGTGGTATCGATTTTGACTTGATATGCTCGAAAACGTAAAAACGATATTTTGGTAATATCAATTTTACAATAAAAGGGTTGGCTTTTCAAAATTAAATTCTCAAATAAATCTTATTTACGGACTCTGGTAAAAATTCCCACACTGTATCTAATCAGTGTGTTAATTGTGCTAATGCTGCCAATTAAGAAGTTTAGACTGGAAATCTGCAAAGTGGCAAAAGGCGCGCACTCTCGCCAAAAACTATAAACACTGAGGCCGCTGAAAATGGCAAGCGTGATTCGCGATAATTATAATAACAGGCAGCAAACAGAGCCACAAATCCCATGAAAAAAATGAGAAAATTACACAAATAAACAGAGGAAAAGCGGAGGAGAAGATTCATCACGAGGCGAGGCGCCTAACACGCTTCCCATTGGGAGAGTCAGATGCCTCCGTTTTGTGGATTCCGAATCCGAATCTGATTTTGGTTCCCGCCTCGATTCTATTCGATTTCTTTGGTTTGGCTTAAATGTGCTCTGTGCTTTATAGATTTCCATGGCAATGGCAAATGCATATATAGCCGAAAACATATATGTACATATACACAGCGAATCCGAATCGAAGCTGTCTATGACGTCGTTGGCGCTCCGCTCACGTCACGGCAGACACGGCCAACAGCCGCACAATTTGGAAAAGTTCAAACGCGCACACTTATCGGCCGCAAATAGCCCGATGATGCCGCCCCTATACCATCCTATAGCATATACTACACACTGTGGATGCGGCTGTATGGATGCTGCCTCTGCCGGACGACCGACCATACAAACTATACAATCTACACCAAACTATAGATGACCCATTGGTCATGTGGCGATGACGTCGGGTCTGCCGATCATGCTGCACAAGGGGAAAACTTATTAAATCTCATTGGGGAAAACGCAATATTTTTCAATTACGATTATCATTTTGATGTCTAAAGTTCTTGCGATTTCCATCACTAATTGTTTTATTTTGTACCAATTTTTGAATTATATTTTAGTTTTTATTCCCTATAAAGATTTTTCTAATTTTAAATCCCCTAATAACTGGGGTCACACATAATTAATTCTTGTTTTGAAAATTCTATTCTTTTTTTTGCCTGCATTTCTGTTTTCCTGTAATGCCTGTGCAAGTCTTTGTTTTTACAACCTCCCAACCAACGGCATCATCGGCGGCCGCATTTCCATTCCAAGTTTATGGCAATTTAAAAAGTATTTTCAAAACTAGACGAAATGTATTTTTACATCTGCCGCTGGCGTTGAAGACGTTCAATGATTTGCGTGTTGCCTTTTCTCGGTTCTGTTTAAGGCTCATTAATTACAACTTATTTCTATTGCGGCCATTGAGACTGAATCGAGATTTGATGGACATTCACCAATTCATAAGAAATTATAGAGACTTGATATTAATTATTTTCGAAAAAGATTTGTATTTGATTAAGACCAAAATATGTTTAGCTTGAAAATTAGATTTCTTTGCAAGTTAAACTTGATTTGAATTAATATAGGGCACCAACATTGACATAAAGAAACACTTAAATCAAAAATACTTTGGATGTGGAAATTAAAGTTTCTCTCTCTTATAGAAAAACTGCATAAGATTTAGATAAGACGATTGGATAAAAACAGGGAAATAAGTATGGATAATTTCACACAATTTAAAAATTATATTCAATACAAAATTTAAAAAAAAATACTTTATATATTTTGTGGGTATAATATTTGAACTAAAGCTTTACGATTTTCATATATTTTTTTCTCGCCCTTAACGACAATAATTTTGGTAACCATTTTCATTTTTTTTGAATTTCAAAGTAATTTTGAGAATAGAGAATAAAAATTATACTATTCAAAATAAATTGTACAATCCTCAATGGTTAAAATAAAAATGTATACATAGAAAATTAAAAACAATTAACTTCCATCTTAATTTTACATTACTCAATGGTGAAAATGATATGCTATAATAAGTTTATCTTGTGATCTTGATACTTTATAACCTTTACATGTTGGAACCTTTCCTACTACTGATCTTGTGATCTCCCCCGCCATGAACCCAAGTGAAAAGTAGAATAATAGTAGTATAATACTTAGATTTCAGTACTCACCTTCGCAGATATATCCCTGCTGGATGAGGCCCCAGAGGAGATCCGAGCAGTGGTGACAGTATGTTGGCTTATGAAATGTCTTCTTCACGAATGAATGCCCACCATCCGCCATTTTGTTTGCCTGTGTCCGCTGCCCGTCCTGCCCCTGCCTGTCCTTCCGCTTCCGGTTTATCCTGCGCCTCTTTGTGCTGCCTTATTCGTTATCCTTATTCCTTATTATGTAGCGCGTTATGCCTTGTGCTTTGAGGTTGCTGTTGCAGTTGCAGTTAAATCGCTAGTAACTGCGAATGTTGCTGTTGCAGTCGCAATATCGCTCGTTTAGATGGGCTATTTCGAAGTGGGATTCTTTCGGTTTGGCCACTTAGGCCGCTGCTGCCGCTGCGGGCGTCGACGCCAGCTGAGGCAGCTCTGCCGTACCGACCGAGACCGAGGGCGTTCGATTGGCGTGGGCGTGGCAGGGCGAGTATCCGGCCAGCTGGGACTGCTCCTTCTGATCCTGTAGATGCTTCTCCGAATGTTGCTGCTGCTCCTCCTGTTGCTGCTGACAAAAGCGATGCGATAGTGACGACGGCGAAAGTGACGGCGACGACGGCTGCATTTTCATCCATTGGTCAGGTAGCGGCTCCCTTATCCGGACATTTGCTTGCCGGGATCGGTGTAATTCCTCGCTCTTTTTTCAACTTTATTATTTAACTCTTCTAGTTTCTATATACATATTGGCTATGTATCAGATTTGTGATTTAGATTTATGCATCTTTGGTTTGGTTAAGCGTTTTCGTTAATAACTTTTCTTTGGTGGTGAGTTTTTCTTTTGTTTTTCTTTTTTTTTTTACTGTTAATTATTTACAATTTCTGGCGCTGCACTAAACAAAAATTCGGTTGATTAATAATTATACATTTTCTGCATATATTTATGTGTGCCATTTTGGGAGAGGTATTCTTCGTATTCTTTGTATATAACACACTGCACACAGGCGCGGACACACACGTAGGCACACTTCACTCGGCGGGCGGTCTTCACTTTACTACTACCGAAAACGAACGACCGCAGCAGCAGAAGCAGCAGCAGCTCGGAAAATGTTTTTCTTCGTCTTCGCTCTTTCCTTAGCTTTTCCACTTTCCGCTTTCCTGCGCTGATACGTGGGCGCCGCACCCCCCAAAAATACAACACAAAAAAAAGGAAAGGAAAACGTTTCCCGATAATAAAATCCACAAGAGGTGGAGTTTCCACAGGGAAAAGCTAGAGAGAAAGAAGAAGAGAGAGAGAGAGCTGCGCGAGAGAGAAAGCACTCGTCATGCGTGGTGAGTTGGCTAAAAAAGTTCCCAGTATTCTTGGAGCACCATAAAAAAGTAGTAGACATCAATATAATAATAGAAGTGGCAAAAATATGATATCAACAGCGTGTGCGGCTGGGGAAAAGAGAAAGAGGGAGCTAAAAAGAGAGAGACGGAGAGGTGGAGAGAGAAAGAGCAGGAGCGAACTGCATTGCTTCAGTTTCCCCAACGCGATTCTATTAATTTCCATAGCCGCGTCGCCCTCAAGTATGCAACATGTTCTGTGATGAACCAATTACCACCGCCACCCCACTTTCCCAGCCCCTAAAACACCCCCTCAGGCAAAGCCGCCCACTGCCAGCCAGCGGGTATGGCCAAGGACAATCCAGTCAAATATTATATCATACAGGTCCTAATAATAGACGGAAACAAAGGTAACGACCCTTGAAGTTTTCAACTTGATGACAATAAACGATAGCTAACGGAAAGCACACAAATCCACATTGTGTGTATATGAAAAGTTAAGGTCGTCATAATAGCCCTCGAGCGTAAGGATCTTGGTCCTTAAATAGTGTGTATCACTTAACATGTTTTGAACATTGATTTTCCATGAAATTAAGAAGGGTTTTATGGTCTCAGCTGACTAAGATTTAAGTAGAATTGAATTTAAGATATTTTAATTTTATATTTTATCTAAAATATACCGATCTTAACTCAAACCATTTTATCATAAAGAGAATCTTAACAAGTGTTATAGTAATGATGATTCGATGGATATTAGATTTATAGAACGAGGGTAAGGGGTTTTATTTTCCCCTCAAAATATGAAGAACTTTTAAACTTAAACCGCTAAAAGTTTCCATGGCTAATAGCCCATTCAGCGGAGGTATTTAGTATAAATGGGGGTTTTAAAAAAGCAAAGTTGTTGTGAGAACTTCTGCAGAATGTTTTGAACTTGGACTTGGCAGTAGTACTATTATTCGGGCCGCAACTGTGAGTGAGGAGCCAGCCTGACGACGTGGAATGTCCAGGACCCGTTTCCCGAGTCCATATATCCTGGCCTCCCTAGCCCACCAACCCACCACACCGCTCGAAATCAACTCCACCACGACGGAGTGGCCAAGTTTAAGGATAAATCACAACGAGCAATATTTTTGCAACAAATACAAACGCGATGAATGATGAACGATGCACGATGAGAGGGGTTTTTTCTGGGTGGGGGAGTGATGAAAACTTTGCGGCTTTGCTTTTCTTTCGGGAAATTTGTGTTTTGTTTTGGACTGGGGCTGGGAGAACAGCAAAAAGAAAAATACTCAAAATTATGGATGCTAATGGGGGGCCAAAAAAAACGAGATATATGGATTTCAGAGGCTGTGTATACACACACTCTACAACTGTAGACAAAGCAGCCCTACTTCGCACCCACTGGGGCCATGGTGGCGCCCACCCCGCCCACTGCCGCCCCCCTCTGGACTTGCCACCCACTTTCCCACCCAATGCTGCGCGCTTCGCTCTTTTCGGGCCGCATGAGCAAATCGCAATAGATAGAGAATTTTTTTCTTTCTTTCTTTTGCTGGCGCGGCTTGATTCCTTGCCACCACACACACACATATATATCTATATACGATATATGGTATATATATTGCATATATATATATAGGTATCGCTTTGCTGTGTGCGTGTGGCCTTGTCTTTTCTTTTTCATTGCTAATCACTCGAAGGAGTTAATTTGTTAAGGCTCGCCTTGGCTGCTTTGTGGAAAATCGGGCCTGGAAAATTCATCACTTGGCACACATATGACAACGTAATTTTCACGCGCACACATACACTCGCGATTTTGGAGAGAGAAATTTTATGTACCATACATTTTTGAAGCTGCAAAATTTTGCACATTCGATTTTCACACTGCTGCTGCTGCTGCTTTTCTATTTCTTTTTTCTATTGGCAATGGATTTTCCTTCTTTTCCCCGCACTTCAGACTTTTCGCCGTCTCCCGAATGGAAAATTTTTAACGCACAATCAGAGTTTTTGCGATTTGACCGAGTTTTTCAAGGGTTTTCCACGGACTTTCCACGGTTTTTCTACGAATTTTGTGCACTTTTTTGTGGCCTGCGAGTGTGTGAGAATTTTCCTGTGTGGCTGGCTGTGTGTGGAAATGGGGATCCAGTAGTGAAAATGAAAATCCGCAACCGTTACGTACGGAAGAGCACACCTAGCTGCTGTGTGTGCTCCGCTGAAAACGATGGTGCGCTCTGCGGACGGTTTTTCAAACTTTCTCGCAGCGCAGCGCCTTTATCGCTGCTCCGCCTGGCGCTTTCGCCCCGTCTCGCTCCCGCACGCCGGGGCTCCAATCGCTGCCTCTCACTCTCGCCTCGGAGTGGTGAATTCTCGCTCGGAAATTCCTGTGTGCGTGCGAGCCCAACAACAAACAGGGGGAAATTTTGGGGAGCTCCCGTTAGCTGGCTGCTATGCTCTCGCGCTCGCTGTCTCTCTCGGAGGCAGCAGGATGCCTCTCGCTGGGCTCTCTCTCTCTCTCGCCCGCCCCCAAATAAAAATGAAATCAACAATTTGTTGGTCGGCGAGCTGCCAACTTGGCCCCAAAATAAATGTGGCCAAAGCGCGGTAGGAAATTGCCGTTATTCCAAATGGGGCCAAGTTACAGAATTTAATGTTTGAATTTTTATAAACATGATTAAATTTTACGTTTAAAGGTTAGCTTTTAAATTTAAATTTAATATTGTAACCTTACCTAAAATATGTATTTTATAAGCCAAAACGAGTCCTTTATGAATTAAATCAGAAAACATAAAAAGATTGTAATATTGGCCATGTTTTGTCCAAATAAATGCAGCCTAAAATACTTTTTTAATTAAATAAAATAGATTTCAGTTTAAAGTTTAATAAATGTTTATTTCAGGTCGGTAATATTTTAATTTTTCCTTAGAGAGAATTTCCAAATCCTTTATAAATCTTTGATCCCATTCGTTGGGATACTGTGGTTAAATAAGCTGAAATATACAAACTCTCCCACTCAAAACGACCTTTAGTAGTACTTTGGATACAGCAATTTTCATATATTTATAGGGCTTTTAACTTACAACTATAGAGTTGAGCACACCGTCGATTTATCGCATCGCTTTACTTTGCTTATCTCTAGTCTTTAATCTTTACAAGAATGAATGTGTATGAGCAACGGATATTGCTGCTTTTGTGGAGTAAAATGTGATTTGCAAATTGCATTTGCCAAGCGAAATTAGAAGTAAGTTTAACAGCACTTTTATGCACAATCTTTTATGCTGACACAGGATGGTTAAATAATAATAGTAATAGTAGAACCGGTATACTTTTGGGTTACGTTGAATACAGATACACGCATACATTTAAGGCGACTTTAAATGGGTTCAATATATAGATAATGTCTCTTTTTCTTGCGATTCATTGTCATAAAGCCAACTTAGCCCAGGCCATGATCGTCGAAGAAACTCTGCGGGGTTTCATCCTGGAATGGGAGAATGCTTAGCTTCAGTTACGTGATCTATACTTAACATCGTTTGGGATAAAAGCTTCGATACTGGGGCAAAAACGCCCCTTATAAATAGGCTATGGAAAACGGGTAATAAGTAATAACAACTAATAATAACAAAAGGACACCAAATGGGTGCACTAAGCCAGACAGATGGGGAGATAGACAGAGATTGGAGAGAGTGGAGTTCAGAGTTCAGATCAGTGGAGAGTAGATCAAAGCGGGCGTCAAGAGGTCAGAGCAGTCAAATGGGTCAGTGACAACAGCAAAGACAACAATCAAAATTAAAAGTAGACAATTACACTAAAACAAACTGAGGATGACCAGTTCTTACCATTATCATATAGCATACGGAGTACATTAAAATATTTATTTTTGAAAAATACTTGGTTTTTTTATTTTAATCTGTTTTTTTTTTTCAGTTACAAAACACAGAAAATTTGGCTAAAACGTACAACACACATACATAAACATATATATATTTGTAGATATACATAAACTAGACTTTATTCGGTTACCACTATGGGATGATTATTACAATTTGCAATTATATATCGTTCTCATTTTTTTTCAACATTAAAGCTTACTTGTTTCTATTGTAAGAATAGTATTGCATATATTTCCCCACTAAATTAGTTATTGCCCATTTTGGTGATTGATTGGAATGATCTTTCGATTATATAATGTAGATAGGAAGAAGAATATTAATTCAGGTTGAGGGAACCCCAGATGGAACTACGTGAGGTTGGCTTGTTTTGCATGAACTTTGCTGATTCTATAATATCTCTCTCTGTGTGTGTGTGTGTGAAATTTACGAGAGGGTGTATGAAAAACCGCATGCCAGATGCTCTGATGTTACTATCTAGTATTTATTGCTTTTTGGAGCCTCACACGCTGCTTGGCATCTTCTTGCTTATCATTTTATTAATTTTATTCAGCGCATCAGTGCTGTACAACAGCCAAATCACACACTAGTGTTGAGAAGTGGTTGGAGCAGTGTTGAAAAGTGCCAAGTGCAGCACATATTATCGCTGGGGGTGTATCTGTGTGTGTTATTCAGTGCTTGTTGTGTCTGGGTGTGCGTGTAATATCAACTACATAAGTTCTAGGGAGTACTAGTTCTTTAGAGGAGTCCAATGTCTCTTAAAGTGCCCTCAACGGCTTCGTCCTGGAGTACAAAGAATAAGAACAATAAGAACGAGAAGAGTAGAAGGAAAGAAAGTAGTAGTAGTGGTAGTAAGTGTGAGTAGAATGCGTCCAAAAAAAGAAACCAATTTAGAGATCTTGTTTTGCTTTTCTTTCGTTTACGGCACAACTTGGAAACACGTAATGCATATTATATGGATGAACATCACAGCGCAGCGCGGGGAAGGCGGGGGAATGGAAGCTGGGCAATATACACATATATATACAGCTGGACGAAGGTTTGACTGATCTGACCTATCGACTCTCCCACTAAGACTCTTCGCAGATCGGGAATATATTATAACTTTATGTTCTTTACACTGGATCTTTGGGATGGGTTTTCTTTTCTTCTAGGTTTTTTTTTAGTTGAGATACTCATTGAAGTCCTGTGGTGGTTGGTTGTTGGTGGTGGTAGTAGTAGTTGTGTTAACATCGATTTATGCAGTGGCGGGTAGGGTAAGCGTTAATAATAACAAGAGAGAGGGTACATGGGTTACACATTTATATATGGTTTATGGTATGGCAAGAATATGTATAGTTTAACATCGTTTCTAGTTTCTAGTTAGTAATATTCAGCTACAAAGGTCATGCAAAATACTCAAGCCAACTAAGATCGAGGATCTTACTACAATTCGGGTTAGGAGACTTACAGAGTTACGGTCACAAAATAAAAACACAAGCAAAAATTGTACTACAAATGGCAAACAAGGTTTTAGTTTTAGTTTAGTTTTAGTTTTACTGCACAGCGACATCTATGGCAAGTTCAATACTGTGGCTATCAAATAATTCCTGGTAAGTTCTCACAATTCACAATTCGCTTTTTCGAGTAGGCAAGTTTCGGAACTCAAGACGACGGCATGCAATGACAAGTAAACAAATCGATTCAGTGCGTGTGTGGAGTCAGCTAAGGTGGTTTACATCAGATTCGGAACTTAAAGTTAATGACAATGCTGCTGCGACAAACACACACGCACACTGCACTTAGGATCTATTGCAGCGAGTAAAAGAACTCTTCTTGCTTCGAGTGGTTAGAGGTGTGGTATAGTTATTAGTTTCGATTGCACAAATTAGAGAAACAAGAACGAGAAGTTGGTAAGAGTAAGAGTAGAGTATAAAGTATAAAGAGAAAACCGTGATATGCATGAGGTATGACATTGTAAACGTTATAGATAGGCATATAAGTATATATATATAGATGCAAACAAACACTAACGAGAGGTAACGAAACTAAAAACCATCAAGTTGAATAAATATGTAAAACAATTAACAATATCCGGCATTGGTAGAGAGTGACACAACCGTTTTAGGCATTACAGATCATATGTCTCGGGTGTACTGACCTCTTGGAGCAGATCCTGCGAGGCGATCGCCTTAAGTACGTTCTTTTTGGACGTCTCCTGGATCTCACCGCCAATAAGCAGCTCGTCCAGGATGAAGTAGGCTTTTTCAAAGTTAAAAATTATGTCCAGCTCGCAGACCTGTACGGAAATTGGGTAATTTAAAACTCTTTGGGGCTTTTATCGTAAAGTGTTGATAACTTACGCTGCCGAAGTACTTATCCAACAGCTCCACATAGCGATGGATAATCTCCAGTGTCAGCAGCTCGTTGTCGTTCTGCTCGATGGCGCAACAGAAATACAAGCTGGCATACCTGAAAGAGGAAAAACTATTATTATCTGATGAAATAGGGATAGGGGGATTACCCGTAAAAGGTAATAGAAACTAAGAGATAGATAGAAATAGAGAAGGTTATACATTTTAATAGTTAAGAGCCCTCCTTTCATATGCATTTCACATTTTCTTGAATACATATCTTATCAGTCATAACTTTATCATTTCTATTATCTTAAATATCTTTTATGTTTGACATTATACTTATGGCAAAGGGTGTAAACTATATACATTTATGAGGAAATGAAAAAATAAATAAAATATAATATATAAATAAGGTTATACATTTTAATAGTTAAGAGCCCTTCTTTCATTTGCATTTCACATTTCTTTGCATACATATCTTATCAGACATAACTTAATCAGGGCTATTATCTCAACTATCATTAATGTTTGACATTATACTTATAAGAAAGGGTTTAAACTAAACTAAGTTTTTAGGAAATGAATATAAATATTAATTTTTCCTTATTTTTAAGCATAATATAATGTTATAAGTAGTTTTTTTTAGCCAAAAAAGCTTAAAACCAGTGGCCAAATACTATCCATATCATCTTTATAGATCTTAAGTGATCTTACTAAAATTACTAACCTCTTGTAGACAATTTTGCAGTCCTTCCACTCCAGAAAAGAGCACATCTTAGGTTTCCTGGCCAGAATGGTGGTGACCAGTTCCCGGGTGATCTTCTTTTTCACTTTATCGGGATAGGCCATGTACCATTTCTGTAAGCGCAGTTTGCCCTGCCGACTGAAGAGCAGCATGAAAAGCATCTGAAATTGAGTAGTACCTTTGTTAGTCCAGAAACTTTATTGATTTTCGGGGTTTTTATTAATTTTTCATATTTTTTTGGGCCAGCGAAGCTCCCAATTTCCACTGACACAGTCATCGAGCACCCCCACCAACACACACACACACATTTGCACCTGGAGCCACCGCTTCGTCAATAAGAAAAACCTCTTCGAAAACCCAGAAAATCACTGATACACTTTTTTTCCTTAAGCCTCACCATGAACTGTGCTTTTCCTCCGTGTGTTTGAGTTTTCCTGTGTGCTAGCTGTACAAAATATATTGGAAAACCTTATTTTTCCATGCAGCCACCGAACAAAACACACATAGAAAACTCTTCTTCCAGCAGAGCTGCCATTCGCAATGCACCTGTCGACGTGTGAAAGGGAATAGCAAGTACAGTGTGCTTCATAGAAATAGAGATTGTTGCTTTGGGTATACACTGTAATTTATTTTGGCTCATTTGTTATCATTTTTTCTTATTTAATTAAATTTATCTTAATAAACTACAGTAGTCTCTCTTATAACTTTTCAAATTACATATATTGAAAGTAATTATCTGATAAAATGGACCTTGTCTTGTTAGTATATATATTTGCGTTGTAATTTATTCTGATACTATTTTATCATTCAACACTTCTGTGAATAAACTTCATTACCTATTCGCACCATGTAACTCTCATTTTGTAGAATTTTCTGATAAAACTTTATTTTTTGTTCGAATGGGAAGGAGCTATTTTAATTTCATAATCACGGTTTCGAAAGCGAATGATCTATTTACATTAAAACATATAAACATTACGGATAATCATATTCCATTATTCCGTTCTATTATTCAGGCTCCACTGTATCTGAGCCGTGCGATATTTGCCATTCGCAGTGAACTATCGCACGGCAAGTGCAGCACTCTTGGGCCATCTCTATTGGACTGTGTAGACGTTAGCAGCTGGCCGCACTCGTGCCGTTTATAAGCCGAGAAATTTCGTCATTTGAATTTAGATTGCAATCAACGACCCCGCGACAATGTCAATAAAGCTGAAAGCGAACCTCAACAATCCGCCGATAAGTAAGTGCCACCGGAATGCCGGCTGCAGTGACCTTCAGTTCCCCGGAAGATCCAAATAGTGAGGTTAAATCCGGATGGGGCCAGTCTATTTATGTATACAATATACACCCGATTCCCCTTTTATTGCATGAGTTGGTAATCGTATCGTATGATATGTGATATTAATTGACTCATCCAAATATTTAGGTGGCCTGGCGACGGCGCACCTCATCAATGGCACGGTGCCCGTGGAGATTGTGTGGAGCAAGGAGGAGACCTCGCTGCAGTTTCCCGACAATCGCCTCCTGGTCTGCCACTCCAACAACGATGTGCTCCGCGCCCTGGCTCGCGCTGCTCCGGATTACAAGCTGTACGGGGAGACGGCCATTGAGAGGACACAGATTGACCACTGGCTCTCCTTCTCGCTGACCTGCGAGGACGACATCTCGTGGGCGCTGGATTTCCTGGACAAATCCATTGCCCCGGTCACCTATTTGGTGGCCAACAAGCTGACCATCGCCGACTTTGCCCTGTTCAACGAGATGCACTCGCGCTATGAGTTCCTCGCCGCCAAGGGCATTCCGCAGCATGTGCAGCGTTGGTATGACCTCATAACCGCCCAGCCGCTCATCCAAAAGGTTCTGCAATCCCTCCCAGAGGGAGCGAAAGTCAAGAGGAGTCCACAGGCCTCCAAGGAGCAGACGCCGGCCAAAACAGGCGAACGCAAGCAGGAGGGCAAGTTCGTGGACCTGCCGGGCGCCGAAATGGGCAAGGTGGTGGTGCGCTTTCCGCCCGAGGCCTCCGGCTATCTGCACATCGGTCATGCCAAGGCGGCGCTGCTCAATCAGTACTACGCCCTGGCCTTCCAGGGAACGCTCATCATGCGCTTCGATGACACCAATCCCGCCAAGGAGACTGTGGAGTTCGAGAACGTCATTCTCGGCGATCTGGAGCAGCTGCAGATCAAGCCGGATCTCTTTACGCACACCTCCAACTACTTCGACCTGATGCTCGACTACTGCGTCCAGCTGATCAAGGAGAGCAAGGCCTACGTGGACGACACGCCGCCGGAGCAAATGAAACTGGAGCGGGAACAGCGCGTGGAGTCTGCCAATCGATCTAATTGTGAGTTTACATCGATCTTCTAACTAGATATTTGCATTTCATGATGAAATGTATTAAATAAGTGAACTTTATCATTAGAATTTCTTTTAAATTGATTGTAATACATCTTTATAAGTTCACAATTTATTATATTTTATATCCCCAATCGCTCTAATTGTGAGTTGATCTCAATTTTTAGACTAGCTTTTGAAAGAAGTATTGTATTTAAACACTTTATGATGAAATTCATCAAATTTGTATACTTTTTGATTAGAATTTTCATTTAATTCGTTGTCATACATCTTTATTAGTTTACAATTTATTATATTTTATATCCCCAATCGCTCTATTTGTGAGTTCATCTCAATTTTTAGACTAGCTTTTGAAAGAAGTATAATATTTCAACACTTTATAATGAAATTCATCAAATTTGTAAACTTTTTGATTCGAATATTCATTTAATTGGTTGTAATACATCTTTATTAGTTCACAATTTATTATATTTAAATATCTTTTTTCCTTTTTAGCCGTCGAAAAGAATCTTTCCCTCTGGCAGGAGATGCTCAAGGGCTCGGAGAAGGGTCAGAAGTTCTGCGTGCGCGCCAAAATCGACATGACCTCCCCCAACGGCTGCATGCGCGATCCCACCATCTATCGCTGCAAGAACGAACCGCATCCTCGCACGGGAACCAAATACAAGTGGGTACAGAGCAACCTTTAATTGCAACTTACTATCATAACACTTATAATTTACAGGGTTTATCCCACCTACGACTTTGCCTGCCCCATTGTCGATGCCATCGAGAATGTGACCCACACCCTGCGCACCACCGAGTACCATGATCGCGATGATCAATTCTACTGGTTCATTGATGCCCTGAAGCTCAGGAAGCCGTACATTTGGGAATACAGTCGCTTGAACATGACCAACACCGTGCTGTCCAAGAGGAAACTCACCTGGTTTGTGGACTCTGGTTTGGTTGATGGCTGGGATGATCCTCGTTTCCCAACGGTGCGTGGTATCATCCGTCGCGGAATGACTGTGGAGGGCCTAAAAGAATTCATCATTGCCCAGGGCAGCAGCAAATCGGTGGTGTTCATGAACTGGGATAAAATCTGGGCCTTTAACAAGAAGGTCATCGATCCCATTGCTCCGCGTTACACTGCGCTGGAGAAGGAAAAGCGCATCATTGTCAATGTGGCTGGCGCAAAGGTGGAGAGGATCCAGGTTTCCGTGCATCCCAAGGATGAGTCATTGGGAAAGAAGACCGTCTTGTTGGGTCCACGTATCTACATCGACTACGTGGATGCCGAGGCTTTAAAAGAGGGCGAAAATGCCACCTTCATCAACTGGGGCAACATTCTGATCAAGAAGGTGAACAAGGATGCGTCTGGCACTATCACTTCTGTGGAAGCTGCCCTCAATTTGGAGAACAAGGACTTCAAGAAGACCCTCAAGCTCACCTGGTTGGCTGTGGAGGATGATGCCAGTGCCTATCCACCCACCTTCTGCGTTTACTTCGACAACATCATCAGCAAAGCTGTTTTGGGCAAGGACGAGGACTTCAAGCAGTTCATCGGCCACAAGACCCGCGATGAGGTGGACATGCTGGGCGATCCTGAGCTGAAGAAGTGCAAGAAGGGCGATATTATCCAGCTGCAGAGGCGTGGCTTCTTCAAGGTGGACAATGCGTATGCTCCGCCCAGTGGCTTCACTTCGGTGCCCTCGCCCATTGTCCTGTTCTCCATTCCCGATGGTCACACGAAGGATGTGCCCACCTCTGGTCTGAAAATCAATGCCCCGGATGCCAAGACAGCGGTGAGTTAAAGGGCATTTATTAATTATGTTATTTTCCTTAACGTTTTTACTGAAACTACACAGAGAGAATTAAGCACGATCATTTGACTCAAACTGGGAAATTTTGTACGCTAAGGGCCGTTTTCTCGTCCGTTTGTTAAATTTAAAGTAGGGTTAAAACCTTAAAATCGTATGGAAAATCAGAGTTAACCCTACTTAAAATTTAACAGGCGGTCGAGAAAACAACCCTAAATATAACCAAGTACATAAATATTCACTTTGAGTGCAAAATACTCACTTTCAGTATAAATTTTCAAAAAAATATATATGCTGAAATTAATTTTTTATGGAAAATATTTCAACAAATAGGGAAACAAAAAGGGGGAAATGTTGTTAAATGTTTACGCAATTTGAGGCTTTTTTTTTAAATTAGTACTCAAAATCTGTACAACCTAAAATTAAGTATACAAATACTATAATTGAGAACGTTATTTTACTTGATTAATTTTTTCTGTGTGTGGAAATATAGGGCATTAAAAATTCGACTTATAGGAGTAGATACCTCTTGTTGTTTTCTCAATACCTATCACATAATATCAGCTGTTGGAAACTCTCTCTACAACTTTGGCTCTCTGCAGCTCTTTCACTTTCTCTTAATTATGTGCCGCGTTGCTTCGGCGTAGTCTTCTTCTTCGGTTGAAAAACCAGTTGTATGCTGAACAACCCACCGTGTGGATCGTTATCGTCAACCTCTATAGGGTATACGCCACGAATTTAAAGAGGGGCTCGCTGAATAACAATTTTAGCCCTTGCTGACGTTGCAGAAAGTTTTTTAAAAAGTGAAGACGTTGCATTGTTTTAGATTTTACCTAAAATTATTTATTAATAAATACTTTTTCTTACAGAAAAAGGCATCTTCACCTGTGAAATCCACCAGTCAAGCTTCCGAATTGGACAGCCAAATTACCCAGCAAGGCGATTTGGTTCGTGATCTAAAATCCAAGAAAGCAGCCAAGGATCAAATTGATGTGGCTGTAAAGAAACTGCTTGCCCTCAAAGCTGACTATAAATCAGCCACTGGAAAGGATTGGAAACCGGGACAAACTGCTGCTCCTGTTGCTTCTCCTGCCGCTCCATCTTCCACATCCAACGACGCCGTTTCAATCAATGCCAGCATTGTGAAGCAGGGTGATTTGGTCAGGGATCTAAAGGGAAAGAAGGCTGGCAAACCAGAGATCGACGCTGCTGTAAAGTCGCTCCTGGAACTGAAGGCTCAGTATAAAACTCTAACTGGTCAGGATTGGAAACCGGGCACTGTTCCTCCCACTGCCGCTCCCGCTGCTTCGCCTGCTTCCTCCTCGGCTGCCAACGATTCGGTGGCGCAGATTCTAAACCAAATCACTGCCCAGGGCGACA